TGACCCCGCCCCCACCATGGCCGCGCGCTCGCGGTCAGTGCCCCGCCAAGGCCGCGCGGCTGAGGTCAGTGACATTACTCTGTAGTATGTATATAATACATATAATACAATATAAAGTATAATATTATAAATATCTAATAAATTATATGTATATGTATTATTTAATGTTATATATAATATAAATTACAGTCACGTTATTTTCACGTGTTGTTTTTTTACATTATCGACACGACATAGTTGTGGATAACCGATTGCTACTAGTTAGTTTGTACGGCGCTCGTTGGCACTACGAGCAACTGCCCCGCTTGCCCCCGATCCTATTTCGTGATTCAATGACGCGCTGTGTACATACAGTTTTTCATATGTCCCTGGCCGCTTTCAGTCTTCTCTCTGATAATATACATGTGTTGGAGATTGTATTTCGCTGGGTTTTACTAGGTTATGACTATTTATAAAACCAGCTTTCAAGAGCGGCTGAATGTTTTTTAAAATGGTAGAGCAAACATTAGTCGCGGTATTAGTGTCTTTCCTCGATTTCATTGTCTTTCTGCCAATTGACATTTTTGAGTTATTAATCGAGACAGTCTCGTTCTTGAAAATTTAAATTGTCCGAAAACTTTACGTACTACACATGGTAAATTTTGAACAAAATTTCTTGCAGTTTTAAAAATAATGTTTGTAACATACAAGTATTTATTTACTTATAAAGTCACATTAACACGTAGATTTTCAACATATATTTTTCTGTTTCATAGATTTATTTAATCTTGTAAATAATGTAAATGTTACAGATACAATTGTATATATAATTGTATATATTTTTTCAGGCTCTTTTAGGAGCACAACTGGTCATTACGCTTGTAATGGTCAGCATTATACAAAAACTAAGTCCACATTTCTCTGTTGCAAGATGGATCTTATGTTCTACAGGGTATATATATATATATAACTATATTACATTATAATTAAAATAAATATAGTACATTATAATTAAAAAATTGTAATATTTTTCTTATGTAACTAGAAGAAGACAATGTAAAACAAAATTTTATATATGTATGTGTATATGTATTTTATATGCACAGATTGAAACGATATCAGTATCCAACAGATCAACAACTTAGAACATTAGCTGGTGTACCTAAAGAAAAACCTAAAAAAGGGAAGCACAGTGAAAATGGCAAAGTGGGAGATGTGTTTCATGTTCCTAGAAATCTAGATATCAAGCTTGAAAGTGCAAAAATAACTGCTCTAGATGTAATACACTTAAAATATTACACAGAGTACCAATGGCTCTTGGATTTTTCTGTATACGCTGTTATTGTTTATATACTAACAGAGGTTGGTGTTTTCATTCATTTAATTAATAGACAAATGCTTATGTACACATAATTGATCAAACGTTTCTTTTGTTATTTAATAGACATACAATTATTTCTATCCGATCAAAGATGAGATTAATCTCAGTATACTGTGGTGTTTGGTAGTTCTGGGTTTTGCATTGTATCCTTTACATTAAAATGTCATATATATTGAATTTTTTGTTCTTTGAGAGGTGACCAAGAATTATGTCGACATGCTTTACTTTCCTTACATAATTTATAGTAAGGTACTATTTTCACTTTGGATACAATATTTCAAAGGAGAAGAAAGTATAGGTGAAAGATCCACATGCATTGTTACGGGATTTGCATATCTTCTTATCGCTATGATGGTGCTTATAATAGATGAAAACAAACTAGAAATTGGGCTGGAAAAAGCATATACAAGTTTCAATCACAGCGCTTCTCAATTTTTAGATACTCAAGGACTTTCCTCAACGTAAGCTAAGCATGTTTTATCTTTGTTATTCTTTGTTCGTGATATTTTTCTCTTCCTTGCTTTTTTTTCCTGGTTACCTACAAGTAGAATATTGTATTGATACAAAGACCCCTCTTTTGTGCAATATTAGATCCTTATGACACAATTGGAAATCTTTATTCTTTGACTAAAACAATATACAATTTATTAGCTATTTATTAACTTATTTTTAATTATTTTTAGACTTATTATTTGTGATAGTTTTGTTACATAGTATTATGTAACGTTATCAATAAATATATTTACTGTAGGGGGCCAGCTTCAAAAATTGTTGTTAAGTTCTTCCTTGCAATATGGTGTGGCTTACTAGGATCTTTATTCACTTTCCCAGGACTGAGGATATCAAAAATGCACTATGATGCATTAAGGTATAATAAATTTCCATTATTTTATCTTAGATAAAATTGATTGTGCATTGTGTTTATATGAAAATTCTGTTACAGATATTACAAAGATAATAAATTATTGTTGCTATTAGCTAATATTAGTTATGTTTCGCCACTCCTCTTGGTGAGTTTATGGATTACACCTTTGACTAGAGATTATTTGACTGTTCGGATATTTAGCGGAATGAGTAGTCCGTTGTAAGTTGAGATGCATCTGATCTGATATTTAAATTTAATATCTATGCAAAACAACAAAGCCTTAAACGAGTTTCTAATTACAGGATGACACCTGCAAGATTTGAAAGTATGAGACTGATAGTTATTATTCTTGCTGTTGTACTAAGAATAATGCTCATGCCAATTTATCTGCAATCTTATTTAAATCTTGCAAATCAAAGACTAGAAATACAGAAAAAGGAAGCTGGTAGAATAACAAATGTTGATCTACAAAAAAAAGTAGGCATTGTATAACTATATATATATACACACATACGAACTATTTTAATTATTGGTATTTTAAAATCTTTTTTTAAAAGCAATTGAAAAACAATTTACTCTTTTTTTATGTTACAGATTGCGGCTGTGTACTATTATTTATGTGTAGTAGCAGTGCAGTTTATTGTTCCAATAATTATATGTTTATTTTTTACATTTTTATATAAAACATTAGGTAAACAAATATAGTTTTATTTTGAAATGCATAAGTTAAAGTGATGCATTACACACATGTACGTACTTTTTTTTTTAACTAGGTGGTTTTACTTGGGAAGGTATTTTGGGAGGAACGTTAGAGGAAGAATGTCCAGCTGATGAGTTACCACAGTCGCTATCATCTAACAATGATAACAGTGATAAGACTGTTGTACAAACTGCTGAAGAATTTCAACTTGCACTAGGCTCGTTAAAGCAGGTAAGTTTTAATATGTTACATAAGTCTTAATATATTTACATAACCTATCATATATTTGTCATATATATAAAACAAATTTTTTTTTACAGATATTTACTACGGATGTTTATAGAGGTATTTTAGGTTTAGCAACATGGTGGAGCTGCTTTGCATTACTTGCAACTAGTGCCATGGGCATGTTTTATCAATCATATTTTTCGAATGTGTAAAATGATTTATAATGAAAAAATCCAAATGTCGCAACACACAAATCTTGATCAATTCGCAAATCAATCGTTCATTATTAAAGATGTAGCATTGTCCACTGTAAAATACATATTTTCAGACTCCATTTTAACGCCTATTGCCAGATATATTTAGGTAGATAGCTATCACAGGTCAACATAGACTTTTTGTTTGGGAATGAATATATAATGATTCTTGAAACAGTTTTGTTCTAAACAACAAGTTTGTCCTTTTTTTTGCTAAATTCGAATTTGATATTAGACTTTGTTATTACTTTAGGATTTTGGCAAAATAATGACATAAAATGTTGCAAGCAATAATCATTTTTGCCAATATTTTCTTGTTTGTTATGAATAAATCAAAGTTGTTCGTATACTTTTGTCTTTCATTAGCATGAAATATATATAGTTCGTTTTCTAAATAGAACTTTTTCTTATCACTGTAACAGACAAAATTACTGTTTTTAAGAACTATTGTTTATTCTCAAATAAATTCTAAACATTTAAATTGTGTCGACCTGAGTAATGTGTAAGATTTTTATAATGTATAAACTGATAAAAAAGTACTTTTTGTGCAACTGTATTATTATAAATAAAAAGATTTGTCATCATTTATTATATTTAAGAGTTTTCTTTAAAATATGATTTAAAGAATATATAATAAATGTTATGTCTTATGTGTAAATAATTTTACACATAAGAAAACAATTTTCTGTTACACAAAAAGAAAGGTTATTCTTTCTCTTTCGTATAATATATACATATACACCTTATACATAAGTACGATGTCTTACAAATATTCTAGTTTAGTATTCAAACTTCTTTCTGATTGCAATTAATACTCACCAGATGTTATATGTCATGTCACATTAGGTACTTCGAAAGTAACTTTCTCTGTTATCAACGATCTTACGATCTCAAAAGGAATAATATTTCACTTAAAATTACATTTAAAAAATATACACACGTTTTTTTATATTATATATATTTTCGAGTGATAATTTATTTATAGTACACTATTATTGTTTTAGTCTGAGTTTATCTTATTTTGCGAAAATTGTTTTTTAATGTGTCATCTGATTGTAATTCACGACTTGTTCGATATCGGTATCTCGGTGAAAGTGCCGACTAAATAATAAAATGATGTCGATCGGATGCAACTCACGTTTTATACCAACTGCTTCCGCAGTATATATGCTTCTCGGAGGTTTTCTTGCCACTGTATACTGTCGTGATTTTTGCTGATCGTAATACTGTGTATGTATGTGTGTGTGCGCGCTTTTATCACACTGATATAATATCATAAACAATTTGCACACTTTTTGATCATGTTGGTAAGTTAAACCGCAATAATTTATATATTACAAATATTTCGAAATAAATTACTATTTTATATTTTTATCTTAGAATTATCTGACGCAGAAGAGCAACTAATATGTTAACACATTAACAATATAAAAAACATTATCAAATCTTATCTTTTGAAAAGCGCGCAAAACCGAATATTTGTTTTCACGGCTAAATTCCAACGATATTTTAAGATAATATATTTTTACACGCGCGCGCGCGCGCGTTTTCTCTTATTTCTTTGACTAATTTTATAAATTGCACTTTGCAGAGACACGTGATTGTCTTCGGTGCTTTATGTTTTTTGGTCATAGCTGAACCACCGATTCAAGGAATAAAATCGACAAACGTGATAGGCAGTGCAGATCAACATACTTCTTTCAGTTTTATCAGGCCAGGATTAACGCAAACGTCGTACGCATTTAACGGCCCAAGCTCGCATCAATCATTTGCTTCTAGCATCGGCAACCCGCAATTAGCGCAAAGAGTCTTACCAAGTTTAGCACATGCTCTCGCTTATAAACATCCTGGCCTAGGTTTTTAATTAATATATCTCTACTCGTGCATATATTTTATTTATCAATTTAGTTTCGCATATATTAAACTTGAAATTAAAAAGCAGAAAATACATAAAAAATAAAACTTTTGAGCAATTGCAAATTGTTTAATTATTACAGGATATTATCCATTAGGTTCCGTTGCAAACGGCTATGGGGTTGTTCCGACTTTTGCAACTCCCGCTACCGCACCGTTAGCTTATCAATCCACTATAGATCCTGCTACCGCTTTAGCATACATGCAACAATTGCAGCAGCAACAACATGCGTACTCGCATGCATTTCAACCAAACAATATTTACCAACCGCAATTAGCGCAATTGCTCGCGTTTAGACAAGCGCAATTAGCGCAAGCTCAACAGCTGGGTCAATTGCAATCGGAACAGGTGAGTTTTGTTCTATAATTAATAAGTTATATTTTAGTTAAAAAAAAAAATAATAATTTTGTGTCTATTCTAAATATAAGTTTTTGTTAATAGTAAATGTGCACAGGTGTCTGAGAAGGCTGAAGAACAGAAATCACAGAATTTGCTAGGAGTTGCTTACTCGTCTGCTCCGTCGGTGGCGCATGTAAACGTTTCTGGAAATGGATACAAGTTCAACTTCTGAACGTGGTATAATACATAATAATTTTTATTTATTTATTACGGAATAAAAAAAAAATTGATCACACGAGGCCCCGGGGGGATTCGAACCCCCGATCTCCTGTTTACTAGACAGGCGCTTTAACCAACTAAGCCACGGCGCCTTTCCAAAATCCGCCTCTCGTGAATCACCTCCAGTTATTTTATACATATATGTTTATAAAAATATAAGTAAAAAAAAATGCACATAAAATATATAATTTAATTATATAAATATTGTATAAGTATATAAATATATTGATCAGACATATTGCATGTGTATGCAATCATGGATATTATAATTGAGTACAATTAAATATTTTTATAAATATACAGTATAGATATTGAAAATAACAACACCAGACTATAATGTAAAAAATATATTTCTCTATTACAAAATAATTGTTGTAGACAACAAAAAAATTAACAAACGTGCTTCGCAGTCGGTAGGACTCGAACCTACGCTCCCAGAGGGAATCTGATTTCTAGTCAGACGCCTTAACCACTCGGCCACGACTGCTACTTGGGCACGTACTCTTTACTGTTTAATAATGTAGTACTTGTTTTAATTTAGAGATAGAGATCATTTTATTTAGTTGCTTGCGACTTTTAAAAGTTAACAAATCTCTGCACCGAAGTAAAATTAGACAGAAAAACAATCTCACACTTGTTTTCCGAGTGTGTTCGGAAAAATATATTTCCAAGATGAGATACAGAACATTTCTAAAGATAGAACGGAGAAAAAAATGACTTGACTTTTTAGTGGTTATCGAGCTTGTGTAATCCGTCTCTCTAGTAATCCACGCCAGAAAGAGAGAGATGAAAGGGAAATATTGGTCGCGCGCGCGCGTGGACCTTGTATATAGCAATCTTCTTTTCTTTATATATATGTACGTCCCTTGATTTGTTCTCTTGAAAAAACGGCATTGGATTCGGTTTCGATGAGTCGACTTCTCCTTTCGTCGATTTCGATGAGTCAACTTTTTTTCTCGTTGCTATAAAGTACAATATGTTAAGATTAGATAGAAGTTATTCAGTAAATTTTAATATAAAAATCAATTTTGAGACGCGGTCATGAGAAATTTCACGAAAATTCAATCTTCAGTATATTTCAGTATGAAAAGTGCTGATTTATACTGAAATATATCCAGAAACGTTCGCTTCTTTTTATTTATGATTTCAACGATTTTATAATATATTTAAATAGTTACGACTTATTTAAAGTGTTTAAATAAAAAAATTTATTAGCACAAGCAACGTGCAATATCAAAAATTATCTAAAAAAGTAATAAAAATATTGACACTTGACCCCGACGTGATTTGAACACGCAACCTTCTGATCTGGAGTCAGACGCGCTACCGTTGCGCCACGGAGTCTTCTTGCTACCTCGTGTCATAGTAAGAAATACTTTCATGTCGTGATAATGAAAGAGATGTAGATATATAGGCAATTTTATTTTTCAATGAAAATCTGCATTATAAACTATATTATATTTTTATAACAAACAAATAATAATTCTTACAGAATTCAAAACTATAAATAACAAAGCAAAATTTTTTTGAAGCAATTGTTTATATTTATTAATCATCATTAAACAATGTGAATACAATATAAAATAATAATATATAATGTGAAAAACTTTTTTACATTAAGATTTAAATAAACGATACAAAATATATGGGGATTTTGGAAACCCTACAAAGTTGTACAATGCTGACATCATGTGTGCATATAATGTTGATAAAATTAATTTTTGTTTCACGAAGAATGTGTTAAAATTCGAGCGCGTAGTGAACACGCTCGCTGGCGATGACGCACGACGACCGTTACCCGACCTGTCCGACCATCGTTCTGTATCACCCCCACTCGGTATAATCAGCTCGCGGTGCGTGCTCACATCCCGCATGCGAGCACCACAATATCCGGCTTGTATGTAACAACAGGAGCTAATAAGAGGCGGCCGCTCTCCCTACGTTGAACAGAGTTTCGCGCGGGTTGTCGTACCGAGCCCCTCCTGCTGCCAGGAAAACACGCGGAGCAAGGAGGCGTTCTCTAGACCGGCTTGTTATTGCGATATTCTGTCATACCTTGACTTTCGCCCGTGAGGAATTTTTTCAACAGGAACGCATGCGGCTGCCTGTAATTTCATGACGCCACCGATAGAAGCGCTAGTGTCAACAAGGCGAAGCCTACGTGTACGCACGATTATGTATATAGGGTGTATCGCACAGTTAGACAAAAATATAAAATTTCGTACTGAAGAACGTTTAGAAATATTGTGATACGACTAATCTTATATTTTACATGAAAATGTAAAACAAGTGACAATGGTGCAAATATATCTCAAGTTTTTTTCAAATTACATATGTCCGTTATTTGACTATAACATCTTTCTTTCAATATAAATTTTATGTTAAGATAAATCGCGTTGTTTGTATAATTGTCTAAAACTCCAGAATCACACGTAAAGCTTTTATAATAAAAAAGAAAAAACATGTAAGACAACAACATAATTTATGTACAGTGGAAATAGAGAAATGTGTCTTTATTAAATACAAAATTTTATAATTTAATATCTTAATATAGACATAGCAAATGCAAGAAGTAAAACACTTTAATTTATTTCATCCATGATTCATCGCAAATTGCGCAATTATATTTATTGCTTTCGTTGCATTTGCTAACGTCGGTGAGGTATCATCGCCTACACCAGAGTGTTATGAGTCACCTTGTATATATACATACACAACGCCCCTTCGCGGATAGCAATCCCCACTACACGGACACGAAGCGGCTTTAATTTTAGGGGAAAACGTAATAACGTTCGATTTATTTTGGAATTGTGATGGTGCGCATGGGACGGTGATATGTTGTCGAGCGCGTGGAATATAACTCGATGTACAATACGTTCGCAAATAATGGAGAAACTTGCCGATATATGCGAAGTCGGCATTCGCACACGGTATTGTCAACGGCGGCGCGCGAGGGGGGAATCGTACATTATTAATGCCGATTTTGGGGAAAAACAGTGTCACTGTCCCTCGACGACGGGTTCCGGTGTTCAGGGCGTGCACTGGGCGGTCGTTTGACGCACAGCTGTGTATTGTCGCGCGCGAATCTGCGACGAGTAGGCGCAGCCTGGCGGGATTTGCCCGTTGCGGCGGCCACGGGCCCGTAGCCCTGCCGAAATTTCCGTCCACGCCGGAGTCAATGAACCAATAAGCAGTGGAAAGAGATCGCCGTGGACCAATGGGGTATAGCTAAGTCGTGGCGTTGCCCGGGCAACACGCGGCTCTTCCTCAAAATTGTGTCTTTCCGATCCACGGGTAACAGAAAGCAACAGAAAGCGCGTTGCTCGATACGGTCGCACGTACGTCGCGGCTTAAAGCCTACTAGTCATTTCTGCGCTCCCGCTCGCCAGTCGGTTAAATTGTTGATTATGTCCATTCTGTTCGTTGACTGCAGATTACCGCGTTAGCCGCGTGTAAATTAGCGCGAAAGAAATGAGCGGGGGAATACCCTAATGCTGAGACACACGTGTCGTTTATGACGTGCGAATTTTTGTTCAAGTCTCGATCGCATCGCGCGCGTTTAGATTCAGCTGCTATTTTAACAGAAATAATTTGTTGGTTTGATATACATTGACGATACGTATTATCGCATATACATGCCAAGAATTATTATATATTATATCGATATTGCATGAAGAATGTAGATAAATGCCACAAAGACACAGCTACTGCGATATAAATTATCGTAATATAAATGATAACAAAAAAAAAAGTCATATGAAAGAGAATATCATATATCACTCTTAAATGAATATATATAATATACAGTCGTGTGTTTGATACTTTGATTGCCAACTGATAAAACTCTTTGTCATGCGCAAGCACGCGACGTTCGGCATTACATATACAATCCTGTTGAACGGAAATTATTTCGAACGAAAGTACGTGTCATAGGTAATACAAGAACGTTCGGACAAGCAACCTTCTTGCTTCACGTGGTTGCCTAGTGCGAGGAGGGGCTAAATGAGACAAACCCGCGCGAATGATGCTTAACTGTACGAGAGAGGAGAAATGGTATCGTTCATGCTGCCCTGATATTGTACAACCTTTGTGCGGGATGTGAGCTCAATGCGGCGGATGGGCCGCTCCGTCGCGCAATAATTTCCCTGTGTGCGGTCTGTATATGAACGAGAAGTCAGACGAAATATAACTCTTTTTCACTGAAATCTAAGCGCTAAGTGTCATCTGCAAAACGTTAAGAATAAAATGCAAACGTTTCGATTTATTCCGCCTACGACCTAAGAGAAATTGATAGACACAGTTCGAATATGTAGTTACGTTCCGAAAAATAAAAAAGTAATTGCTTATTATTAATGATAAAAATTATCTTAACTTAAAGTTGTTCTTTAAGAATAATTTTATACGTCGTAAATATGCGTGAACACAAGTAACAGGTAAAAAACATAAATCTTACAATAGAGAAAAATGTGAATGTCTTATATCTCGGGCTTGTGCTAACAAAAGTTACGGTCTTTGACCCCGACGTGATTTGAACACGCAACCTTCTGATCTGGAGTCAGACGCGCTACCGTTGCGCCACGGAGTCGGATAATACGAAATTGTCTTCTTACGTTACTTGTGAAGAATCACTCAAAGAAAATCTTATTGTATTTTGACATTATTTTCAATATCGTAACACAGAGAGAAACCGTCTGTACTAAATTATCTTTAACTACTTGCTGCTTCGTAGTATCTAAGCGCGCGATATGTCGGCACCGTCGTATAATTGATGATCTTTAAATCGCTTATTAACTCGAAATCTATCATAGCTTCGCCACTTTAGAATCAGATCTTTTGTCTTATAATGTTTCAAATAATCGGTCATTAAAATATCTTTTGGTAGACACCCTGTATATAGACGTATACATTTGTATGTTATAATATAATAATATGATTTCTGAGGTATGCAAATATAGTAATAAAACATACGTAAAACTTATACGTGTGACACATACGTGTTCGTACGCTGTAATATTGCAGTTATCACTCCATATTTGCGACACTGCGACAATTTATTTCAAGCTTCCGAGAATGCGTCAATTGGGCGTGGCCGGTGGAGCATCTTTTGAATGAAACTTGTATCAGGATACCACGCCGCTCTAGAGCGCACTTCCGTTCTTTTCTTTTTTTTTTCCGATATCATAATTATTATTATATCGGCCACACATAACGTTTTCCCCTTCGTCGTTTCATAGATGTTCAATAACGATCCCTTTTAGCCGAAACGGGCTGGAATGGCGAGCCCCCGACGACAACAACATCAACAGGATCCCATCTGCTTACAGGAGCATGGGATTTCTCGAATAAGCTTCTCTATAAGGAACGTACGTTCCTTCATTTCGCACCTTGTGTAAAATTAAAATTCCATTGTTCTTCTTTTCAGTGATAATTCTCGAGATATAGACGTAATATTGATAGATATATGTAAGAAAATGTTGTGCAATGTTGATTGAAAATGTGAAAAAAAGTTACAAGTTTTCATCAATATCTCTGTCATCAATATCTCTATCATTTACATAAAGTTGCATTTTTTTATTTAGACACAAAATATCTTATCTCTCGTTTGAAAACACATTTGCAAAACAATAAATTTTATTTAAAAAAAATGGTAGATGCAATTTAAAGGTAAATGTGTATAATTCATACTGTATATATTTAAAGAGTAATACGCATACTCACGTACACACAAAGCACATAGTTCGGATGAAACAATATATAGATCTGATTAGATTTATAATAAAAGTAAAGTACTCTGTTTGATCGGCGAGTGAAACTTGTTTGATTTGATAATGGCAGATAGTAGACCGTTGTTGACACAGATGTCGCACACATAGACCGGTTGGGATTTCATCCTACTCGCATTCATGTTTTCCTGCTAGGTGTGTACCACGGCGCCGCGTGCCGACGCAACCAAAGGGATCTTCGGAGACGTTACCACTGCGTTTCCCAAATCGCACGCCATGCGGTCGCCGCGCAGCTCGCATACGAGGTCGCGGCGTATGATGTACTAAATGGTTTGTATACGGCGATAAAAAAAAAAAAAATAATGTGGCAGCGGTGGGATTCGAACCCACGCCTCCGAAGAGACTGGTGCCTTAAACCAGCGCCTTAGACCGCTCGGCCACGCTACCATTCTTGCGAGGTAGGCTTTAATTTTGAATCATGTGAAGTAAGTTTTGAAAAAGTAGAACAACGTTTAGGTTTGTTCAAATCTAATATATATTCTTAATGTAGAACGTAAAAAAAAAACTAGAACAAAACAGAATTTCATATATTTTTCATAGTTTGATTTTTTTTCTTTGAAAAAAATCTATACATACACGCAGATTACATACTTGTATATAAAAGAAAATACATCGTACGTAGTAAGATAAAAAACAGTTGCACTTGTAAGAATACAATAAGATATGTGATTTTTATTCACCTAACATTGTCTACAAAATCTAAGGAATCAACAAATTTATGTCATTGATTCAAAGTTACCGAAATCTTTCGAAAAAAATTCATTACTTTGATTTCGATTATCGATCGATTGCCCACCGCGTTTGTTTTGTTCATAATATTCTTTCATGGAAATCCGATGGATCGCATTTTCAGATCTGGAGTGAGTGGTGAGTAAGTGATCCATATATAGAAGCGCCCCCACGTTCACCAACACGTACGCGCACCTTCTTATGCATATATACGAAGCTCAGCCACGGTGGAGCGCACTTTTTGTGCTTGAGCTTGAGTCGGTGAAAAGCTACGTTCGCGACGTGAGACGCACCGTGAAATTTCGAAGAGGAAACTTGACAACTTACATATTTACGCAAATTAGCCATGCCTGGACGCCCACTTTGGCAGGTAAGTGAAATATCATTTCTCAAAAATTGATACGTAATTATAACAAAAACTTAATGACAAACGATATATATATATTTTATGTTTATGTTTTATAATTACATAATATTTTTATTCTTTGTAATTACTATTTACTGTACATGTTATTACACGCGCAAATTTCAATTACATATATATTTTCTGTTTTTTATTACTACTCTGAAATATTTCTTGTATCACACATAATCTCGATACGTATTTTACTTATTGTATGATTATTGAATCCTTCTATCCAATTAATTAAAATTTTTATAAAAATCTCTGTGTTTATGTGATATATCTCATTTTGAAACTTTGACTCTCAGAAATGCATTCATTCATAAGACTTTTGCTAATTTTCGAAAAGTGCTCTTGATTCAGAATCTTATTTTATTCTTTTTACATCGTGAATTATTAGCCAAAATCGATCAGCGTTCATTGTTCATGCCAAATGCGAGCACATAATTTCTAGATAAATTAATATAAATAAAAGAAAGAGAGAAAAAAAAAGAAAAAGAAATATGCAAATGATTATCTGCCATCCAGTTTGATAATACACAAATCTTTTTGCAACTTTAGGTAAATCGCGCTTATAAAAGTAATATCAAACGAACAGCTTTGATTCAATAAAATGCATAGAAAATGAAGACAAAAATAAATACTTGTTTAAAATAATTACATTTTATTGGGTAAAGTGATACATTTTTTATTGGATACACAAAATTAACATTTAAAACAGCTACATTATAAAAACTGTTTTTTTTTTCGAAAAACTGAGTCAAAACGAAATAAAATGATATGGAACCGTGACCCGAGTCCAGCAATGGCCGCCGTGTGGGCCACGGTGATCCAAAAATAAACTGAAAGGCACTCAGATCTGCCAAGGAAAGCAACACTATATGAATTAAATTTTGCCACGCCAGAAACACGTAAGCGTGCGCTCTCCTTTCCACGAAAAATTTAGAAAAGCATGTCGCAATGACGTGTGATCGTGAAGTATCCAATTTATTTACAAACAGCAATGACTATTTTTACCACTGTGTGGGTGTATAGATACACACATGAGAGTGCGAAGGAGGATAAGTTATAGAGATGCACAAAAATCTTTTTTACTTGCTCTTTACTTAATTCTTTTACTGTGAATTTATGTAGTTCAGATTAATTAATGAAATAAAAAGCAAGTTGTTTTTATTTACTAAACGATTTCTTACTTTTTTCGCATCGTAACGCAAATACTTTTTATTACCTATCTATAGGTAATATAATCTAACTTGGAATTGTCGTTAGATTATCTTTTTTGTCGTTTATGACATGAGTTTTTTGTGATAATGTTGACACACAAAAGATATATTGATTATTATGTCATTTGGTTATCCGCGTATATATATATGTATATGTTGATTTGAAAGATAATTATAAAATTTTAAAAAGTTTATTTATTATTAAAATAAAGTGTGTAAGAGAATGTGAAATAATCATCATAAACATTGATTTATGAAAGTGGCTAACTAATGTTAGATTTTTTTGAAATCACTTTGTTTTTAAGATTACTTCGTTACTTCCTCGCTTTAATTACTTACGACACTAACTATAAATTTCACAAATTTATTTATAAATGTACATACTTTCATAATACACATTTTAAAAAGTTATAATATATATTATTTAAATTTATCAATTTGTATATAAAAAGAGCAGACATGCAACAATTACTTTATGAGATAGACAGATACGAATTTATAGCATCTGTAATTTGATATTGTGTATGTAAGTATATACTGCAAAAAAATATTACGTGAAATTAAAGCTGCGCTTAAAAACTATATTGAAAAACTTAAAATCTACTTTATATATTATAGATTTATAAGTATAAAATCGTGTTGCTAGATCATTTTCGCGCTACGTACATTGTTATTACATCTAATAAGTAGCGTAAAATGTTGCAAATATACGTGCAAATGTACGTATACAGACATAACAGTTTTGTGTGATGTGTATATAAATGTCCATTTTTAATGTTTGCATTAATGTTAGTTTGTATTGTTGTGTGTATTTAATTTTATAATAATATCACTATAAAAAATATTTGTGTATATTGTGAAGTATGTGTGTAAAAGTAGCATATACAATGAAAGTTTTGTTTTGATGTGAGTGTTAATGTGATATGTGTATTGTTTTGTGTACGTATAAAATATAAAGCGTTTTTGCGATATCTTCGATGATAAGAAGAAGAATTTATGTTTACATTTACATGCAAACACTATTATAAATTTATATAAAAAATATATTTTGTTGCGACTAAGTATAGAAAGTTAAAATAGTAATGCAATACAATAGTTTTGTGATATTTGATATAAGAAAACAAAAAAAAAACAAAATATAATTTGTGTTAAATGTTAAATAAAAAGTAAATATTTAAAGTTTAACTATATAAAAAATAATCAGTTTTTAGAATTATCAAATACTGCAAAAGATTATATTAGCACACACACAACGATGAGAGAGTTAATTATTTATTGAGAAGAATTTAGTGAGAAAAAAATTTACGCAAATTATTTGATCTTATTTATGCCAATAATAACTATAAAAAAACAAATATCGGCAACAAAGTTTAATATGATAAACTGTGTTATTTTACTCTTAGATTTTAAGCGCGGTTGAAAAATGCGACTTATTTCAACAATTTTATTATATTTTATATAATAAAATTGATATCTCCTAACCAGTCATTATAAATATGTGATATAGACATATGATAATTTCCCCTTTTAAAAAATTTACATATGTCTGGTATTTCCGAAGCCACCATGACCGGATTGACTGGCGCCCTTGTTGTAACCCATTTGGAGATTTAGATGACCTTCGCTGGCACGAAGCTGTTCTTCAGTGAAGCTTCTCTTGTTCTCTTCTGCCATCTTGGGTCCTAAACTTGGTCCGTTCCAGTCATGTTTCTGAGTCTATTATAAGAATATTTAATATTTAAATTTTACGAAACTTGATTGAGAGATAAATATTAATAGTAAAGTATACTTACAAGTCTACCCAACGCATATAAGCAGAGGGTGACTTGAACGATGTTACGTCTTTCAAAGAGATCCGCGGTTTGGAAAATTTCTTCTTGAGGCACACCGTAATTTTTAATTGCTGCTTGGAATCTAAAAGATAAATAATATGCACATGTTTAGTTTGATTACATATGCAATTATATATTTTATGCATATAATAATGAAGAAGATGTTGAAACAATCTGAATATAGCTCGCCTTTGAATATTTTCCATAAGCTGAAAATTGGTGCCTTTAGTTTGAATCTTCTTAACCGAACCGGGTGCAAGTTTATTGATTAAATTGCAAAGAATCACACCATCTTTCAGAATGTCTTCGTAGTTACCAGGAGGAAGTTTTTCGCCTAACACAGCCTCAATCCATTCAAGAACTTCTGCCTCCTGTTGCTTGTTGCGCGCCTAAAATAAACACAATACATTAGTTAGAGTGTTTTATGTAGCGTGTTTTACCGTGAATTGATTTTTATTCTGTTATTTTTGTCTTTCCATTAAAAAGACATTTTATAAGTGCGTTTGAATGCGTTTAGATATATTGTTTCCGGATATTCCGTAAAAATGGCTGTATCGAAAATAGATTAGACGCGGTGGTGTAGAATTACTCGCGTTAAGTCCAACATCGAAAATAAAATATCGTCTCTAAACTCTTGGCTTTTACGAAAACTGGCAAAACAGTTTAAAATGGCAGACATCTGTTTTGCAGAGGCGGTAAATTTTGGTTTATATCGCGTTTTGCATTTTAATTCAAATACCGAATGAATTGTCTTGAATGAATGAAGATGTAGGAGAAAAAGAGTTATATAAAAATTTACTTGCAAAAGTAAGTAAAGTTTGCGCGATATATGCTGTGTTGCTATTTTGGTAAACTTGAAATATTATGTTGCTTGTAGATAATTTTTAGTTAATTACATATTTCATGAATACGAAATGATCCGTGAAAAACGGATAATGAGCATCTTGTAATGAATGGTTGGAAATTTTGGTTTTCACACTCTTTTATATAGAATTTCTTTTAAAACATTTATTCGATTTATGATTCGAACAGCTGACTGACGCAAGCAAATCTGGCACCTTTTGGTCGGAGCTATAAATCAGTATTTACAGCACAAGTAACCACGATTCCAAAGTCGCGAATTTGAAGCTGCGTGATAAAGACCGTAGTCATCCCGTAATAGCGATTACCTTACGAAATTTGCTCAATCGTACGATATTTTGAGAAAACGCGATGTGTTGTTGGATGATGTTTGGATGACGCCGATACACAATGGAATAGTGTAATTTGTATAATAGTAACAGCACGATCCCAAATAGTGCAGCTGCTCGAATACATCTTGGCACGTTAATTTAGCTGAGATGTATTACTTCGAAAATGAGAGCGAATACTAATTGGCTCTAAAAGATCCTTAGCAACCTATCCGTATGATACATTTATATTATGCGTAAAATTTTCGCTTGGAATTGTACAAGTAAGCGCGCACGTGTAATATAGTTAGTTTTCTAATTAATATGACAATTTCAAACCGACAACATTATTATAAACAATAACAAATCTCTCGAAATTGCTCATAAAACTAGGTTGTTGATGTTGCTTTTAAATAAACTCCATAGTTTTTTTTTAACTTACATTGATCAAATAAATTAACGCTTTTACATTCTCGGGGATGATTTAGCACAAGAAAAAGTGTTTTATACAAGTTCAAATTAACTATCCGTGATCTTTGAATTCGCGGTGCGCAAATTTTCTGAACGCCATTGAAAAATAATTTTCGACTTCTTATCTTGCGGGATGTCAGACGAGGCAACATGTTCTTTGTCGCATTCACTCGAGATGATATTTTAAGCTTCTTTTTCAAGGGGAGCAGCTTCCGTACGAACGAAATCGACTCCTCGACTTCCGACTCCGTTTTGCGTTTATCCACTCACTAAATTTGAAGTTAAATTAAGCGAGTCCGTATATAATTCGCAACTCCATTGAATTGGCTGGCGACTGATCAAACTGTGCACCTGTACCTAACACGCATTTTAGCGTTTGCATGAATTGTATGTTACAATGAAGCTTTGCATGTACAACGTAATCTATATACAATAATATATTTGTTTACAAAATTCTACAAATTTACGTTCCTGGCTGTAATAAACACAAATATAATACAAAAAGTTAATTTAGATGTAAAACTTTCTTTGAAAGAAATATATTAATATAATTGACATAAGTGCGGATTGTTTTATCATATAACGAATATCATTACAAAATAATTTTTTTAATATCTTCAACAGTAGTTTTTAACAATGTAATAAAATAAAATAATATTGCAAGATTTGCTTGGATTGAGACATATTAAATTTTTTTAATTTGCTTTCAAACTGCAAACTTGCGCGTGTGAAAACCACGCCTAAACTTTTTATGTGTTTCGAAACTCATCGTTAAACCCGATAATTTCTAAATTCGTTTCGGTTCTACAGCTTCTCGGGATAACGTCTAAAAGTCTGCGTTGCATAACGTTATTTATGTTAGGATATAAATACACCGGATGTGGAGGAGAAAGACATACATCAAAAGGGAGTACTGACGTAAAACGATGTATCATAGTGATGGATCGAATTGTAACTATAAAAATATTGCAAAGACCACCTGCTAAAAGACTTTAATTATCAATAGTACATTAAAGATAATAATATTTGATGTATTTTCTCTTCCTGTTTATAAACAATATTGTAATGTATATAACAATTCATATAATTTATATTTATATTACAGCATTTAATATTGTTTAAACAACATGAGCTTATAAAAACATAAAATTAAAATTTTATCAGTAACTTTTTTATATTAATTGTTTTTCTGTAAATAAAAAATATAAATGTTCTACAATAATGTTTTGTTTTCTCCACACACACTCTGTGTTGATACATTAATCATCTATGTGTGTACACGCGCGTGCGAATATTTTACATTGCACTTATATCAAACATATAATATTTTTTTTTCACTAGAAATATCATCTCGGAATTTTTGGAGTCACTCATTTGGAGTCATTCATTAGGCAGAATTAAAAAAAAAAACTGACAACAGTTTGCAAAGAAACGTACCGGCATTTCGTTGCTGTGTTTCCTCGACGATGATAGTTATTCAGGAGAGTGCGTGACTTTGAAACTATGATGATGTCGAGTAGGAACTAAATCGGACGCCGCGCGTCGCGACGCTATATGGCGTCATCCCCTCCTCCGTATTCTTCCTCTGATCTTCAAGTAACAGAGTGCTTTTTGGCTCAGTGCCCAATTTTTGGCGAGTATTCCCACACCCCCGCTAGTAACCAGATCTTGACACCGCGGCCCTATTTACTGGGTGCGGCGTGAACTTAAATTAGATTACAATTCACGTTCAGACAAGCGACAGCGGGAAAACCACCTGGCATTTTCAGCACAAAACTTGACATCGAATTTCGTATTGAGAACACAATATAAATAAAATTCCGCAAAAGAAATAAAAAAAAAAAAAAAAAACATAGTTACGGATTGAAAATTATATTCTTTCTTTAAGTTGATAAATAATTTAAAAAAATGACATTTAGCTGCATAATACTCTCTCGATATCGAAATCTATTTATAATGCATGTACGCGATATGCCTTATCTAAATTCAAACGTTTAATATTTGTATAATTTGAAAGTTAATTAACAAACGGTTTAAATCGTTGTGACATTAGTTCAACGACTTTCTTACAACTCATATAACCGGTATTTAATTTAGGTCACACATTAGCCGAGAAACTTATTTTTTTGCTTCTAATACGTGCATTTTATTTTCAAACAAACATGTTTCGTAAAAAGATGTGAACATAATTTTCATCATCAGAGAAAGCAACATAAAATACATTTAGATTTGTTTTTTAAAACTAATTGCAAGATTAATAAAGGAATATTATTTATTTACTTCTTTAATTAAACATCAAGTAAAGATTATTAAAAGTTAATCAAGTTAATAAATGACTTTTCTTCTCATCGATTACGATCGATAAAGAAAAAATAGAAAAAGGTGATGAAGTAATAGGAAAAGTTCGAACAAGTGGGTGTGTTTTGCACCAAGTTACAGTTTAATATACGTGGACATTCGCCAGATGAAAACGCCGATATGTAAACGTCGTAATTTCTGGACTCTGGCCACTTCGAAGGGTGAGACCACCGCCGAGTTTAGATTTCGTCAATCGTCGTTTCCAAGTTTATCGTTTAACACAACGGATTTGCGTAGTCAATCTGGAGCAATTTCGTGATGTGCGTTCGCATTTATATATCTGAGTTATATAAAGTATAACTCAGAAAGAGAAAGAGAGAGATAGAGAAAGAGAAAAAGAGAAGACAATAAAAATAAAAATTATTTTGAATAGAATCGATTTTGAAAAAATACATAATGGCTATCCTAAAGAAAGTATAACGATCGATACGAATAAGATAAATGTTGGAACGGCGGAATCGCGCCGAGCACGTGCGTCTACAAGCGTGCACTTTCTGCCTTTCTGCTCTCCTGATCAAATATATTTTCTTGCAAATACCCGGGCTAGCCAGTCGTTTAAATTATCCATTAACAATGACAAATCTTATTTGTCCAGAATAGACAAATGCGCTGCCCGCAAAACGCATGCATAGTGACTGCGCCTTAGTTCATGAAATCGCCGCTACGAGGCGTCTGTGAAGAAAACGTTCTCGATGTTAACATTTTCTTCGTCTCTTATAAGTTCAAGCCAGCGGAGTGTCTCGTCAGCTTTGCGCAGTGGCGATATCGTAACCAATGAGGTTCTACCGAGGTGCGATTATTGCTAGTTGAAAACTTTTACCAATACCCCGCCATGACGATGTGAAATACCATCGGCTACGGCAATTTTTGAAAGTTTCTGCGGAAACTGATAAACGAATTTGAAACAAAATTTTGACAGGCTTGAGAGAGGGGAAAAATCTCTTGTTTCTTCTTGTATCTTGACGTATAACTTATATTTAAATCTCTATGGAGTTTTTAAATGTCTCTCCGATACTTCTAAGAAGACACGTTTAGATTTTTCCATAATTATAATTTACGAGTAGCAGTATTTTTATTCTGTAAAGTTTACTGATATTACAGTTATTAGAGTAGTATTTCGATATTTTACTTTTGAAACGTAGTTACTATAAATGATATATATAATATAATATTCGTATACAGAGTCAAACCTCGATAAAACTCGAATCTCAAAGGAAGAGCTAAACTCTTCGAGTTGTAGAGATTTCGACTTGTCAAAGTTCTTTTTTCCTTTTCACGGAGCGGAAGAGAATGAACAAAATTTTCGTCTTATAGAGAGGTTTGAATCATCGAGGTTTGACTTGTAATAATATTATTGTATGTATTATAAATTTTAGCCTCTCTGAAATTTCATAAAAATTAAAACATACTTACAAGCCATTTATCACGGAGAGTAATCACTGTTTTCTGTCTTTCCTAATAAGAGATATGTGTGTTTACATAAATGTTTTTTATGTATTTAGTCAAATCATGAAAGTTGGATATTTAGATGAAGAAGATATAGAATATAATAAACATATCACGTATCTTTCTGCCGTCACACAAGTCAGTTGTAGTTGCCAAATGTTAGATATTTCTTGCTTTTGTAAATTGTTCAGAAGAATGAAGTTTGAATAACATATATCATCATCTCTGTGACAACGATTTATACATTGAAAACATTTGTGACATATTATTTCATCACAATTAAAGTTTCATTTTTCAACCACAAATGTTTATTACAGGTTGCTGGCAAGCGCGAAGCAAGCCAGGAAGCTGAAGCTCAACAATGGATCGAGACAGTTGTCGGTGAGAGATTTCCACCAGGTAAGTTTTTAAGATCAGTTAATAATAATAATGTTTTATACAAGCTTTTTTTTACAGCATTACAGCTACATATAATGTTATTAATAATTTATATTATTTTATTTTACATAGTCCAGAAAGAATCTAGTGCTTCTAAGACTTAAAGATACTTGTGAACTAAAAATATAGATACGTTCTATATACATGGTCTTACGTACACTTGAGGCTTTAGAATATTCACTTTAAAAGAATTAAACAGTTATACACGAACGTATATTATAGACTCCTGTTCCGCGGAGGTGGGGCGAACCCGAAAGCGTTTTCATCCCCATTAGGGTAATGTTCAACCACAGGGTTAAAAGCGCGAGCTGTTATCTAACTAGAATCGCATAATTGCCGGATACAAATGTCATATCGCGTGACGTCGTAAAGGTTAAGCTTCCTCGAGGTCAGTTTTCCCATATAGAATACACATCATATGATCGCAAACGTAATGTAGCAACAAGTACGTGCAATGCTACAATACTTATATCTCACATAATCCTGTGATTATTAATATTATCAAATATATTTAAAAACTATACATACATATTAATATTATGTTAATATACTATATATTTATTAATATATATTATTCCTTACGATTAGTTGTATACTTTAAAGAAAGAATCTGAAGAAAAGTCGAAACGTTGCGATCATCAACTTACTTTTTAGTCAAAGATTATTTACAACACAAGAACAATAGCATTATTTTTTATATTTTAACAAATTAATTAAGTTTCTTATGAGCTGAGTTTACGAAGTATGTGTCTTCGAGACAAAAGACTTAAAGAGACTTCTCGACAGCTAAGAGTTGCATAAAAATATTTCTGAAGTTATATTGCGAATAAAGTCGAAAGAAGATATAATCAATACTGACGGGGAGTTTACCCTGACCGACAACGATTTTTAGAAGGGGTTACTGAACTCCACCTTGAACTACTAGGGGTGTGATTCTGCCTCCTGTTGCATTATACTCGCTTGGCAAAACGCGCGCTTTGTTACGTCATTCCGAGTCACCCTATCGAGTTCGCCCCGACGACAAAGCACCCTCGGTTTCGACATACACCCCTGATGCGACAAACACGCCAGGCGTCGACGCAATCGGCGTAGTTTTACGTACCTACAATATATTGCGCAGCCACGTTCTTATTCACATATTTTCACATATTATTTATTTATACAAACGCTCTGACTATTAAAATCAATATAAAAATCGACAGTGATATATCGTGAAATTTTTTCTACAATATTATGAAATAAATAATTTATTATATTTGTTTATACACATATGTATATATATAATTTCTTAATTGTAATTATGTCATTATCGTGAGATAGAAAAAAGTCTAATTGTGTTGTGTATGTGTGTGATGATTATTATTACAGAGAAAAATTCTATATATTAATAAAAAACTTAAATTTTTCATGTTCAGTGTTTTACACTCGAAACTGCTTCGTTGCTTTGATTAAATACAATAGCTCATCTGCGAAAGTCTGCAGAATATGTCAAAAGCAATTGTTTCTGTCACATTGAAACAAAGCGTTTGAGTAGAAAAGGACTTGAAGCGTATAAATTATGTTGAGTGCTTAGATTTAACGAGCCTCCACTTGTGACTGTCATCCTGATTCTACTAAAGAGACAATGGAGGTGGCTCTAAACAAAGCCACCCCTAGTTTAATAATTCTACTAAAGATCTAAAACTATATCTTCTATGTAATTGTAACTACAGCTATAGTTACAATTTCTTAAATAATACAATCTGAAACTTTGTGAGCATGTTTGCCAAAGTAAAATATAAAAAAAAATTCTTATATAAATTCTCTTATAAATCTAATGAGATGACAATTACATTAGGGAAAAAGCTCAGGAAGCTTATAACTAAATTTTATATGATTTATCTTTAAATAATTAAAGTTTCTTTCTTATAAAAATAACACCACATCAAAGTTTTTTATTTTCAATATTTCTTTTACAATTCTGTGTGTGTGTTCACAAATTAATTTAATTATTACATTCACAAATTCTTTATTTTTTCTTTCTTTTTGAAATACTACTTATTATTATTATTATTAATTATTATTTTTTATTATTATTTATTATTATTCTTATAAATATGTATATTTTTATATATATATTTATTCTCTTAAAGAGATAACATATTGTTGTTCCATGTTTCATCTTGTTCCTGCTGCTCTGGTAATTCACGAACGCTTTCAGTATTTATCTTCGAGTTCGTCCTCGATAGATGTATCTAATATGGTATCTGATCTAGATTACAACACAGACGCAACATATATCTACGTTACATAAAGTACACTCAAGCTCTACGCGAACATGCAGGCCGGATAACCGAAGCTTTTGATGTTATTGACTCGTTTAAAATTGAATCCAAACGACTGTTTGATTCAATTACGTTCTTGCAATTACGTTCTACGTGTTTCCAATTTATTTTAAACACTAGAATCCTGAGGCACGCACAGCGGGAGTTTGCTAGAGGAATCTCGAGGTATCCCGCGGGTCTTCCAAATACGGATGTTAGCCTGTTCCCGGAAGCTCGCCAGGCATGCTTGGCACGATCCTTGTCCGACAGGTCTTGATTGCAAAGTATCGCGTTTATTATGTCTTTATGTTGTCATTCACTTTAAATTCAAATAATCGAACGCGACATGTACACACACATGTATATCATGTCAGAAAAATTAAATAGTATCTTTGAATTCTAATATTGCATGCATGTTTATTTCGTAAAAATTATACATGTATCTAAATTGATTTTAAAATTCGGCAACAGTAATGTACTTATTGCATAAACTTTAATATATATTATTTTTCTATCTATAAATATTTTTTAAAAATAATTCTACAAATCAATAGAGATAATGTTGATTTATGAATAAATATTCTTATTCGTGTATGTATGTGTGTGTGAACACATGTGAGAGACTATGTTACTCTCTTTGAATATTAGAACTAATACTTAGTCGACATCGCGTATTGATTTACCGTCATCTGTTCATCATGTTACAACGTAGGGACGCTAGTGTACCAGGGCCGCATACAGTACCTCTGCATCATATCTAGGGTAGAACTAGTTACGTGTCATACCTCTTCTTTTCTCTGACCTCTATTTCTTCATTCTTCTGTTACAATTATTGCTCATTGCGATTACTTTGTTCATAATAAATGTAATTTTAATAAACAATTTCTACGTATAGAATCTCATTTCCAGTAATTTTATATCAAACTACAATAATTTAATTTATTGACTTAAAAAGTATAACGTATTTTTTTTAATTACAAATTGTGTACGCATTTAAGTTACCTCTCTTCTTCTCCTAAAATATAATTTGTGATTTTATGTTCGATATACGTGTACAACCTAACCGAAATATTACGTACAGAAAATTTTCTACAGATTTTAGCTAACAGATGGTATAAAATAATTCACATTTTTTATTTAATTTACTCAAAATTAATATTTGCAATAAGCAATTAGAGTTTCTCGCAGTTTAACTCAATTACAACATTCATTATTTTTACATCCAGATGATTCTAATATAAGTTACGTTAATATTAATGCCGTTTACTTTTTTACTAAAAGTGTTTCGCAATGTTTCTTAAGCGGAAGAAATGTCCGTCATCTGTCCGTCATGGTGGCGCAAGTCGCCTGAGTGCACCAGGGCATCAGCAGACGTTTGAGGGATTTATAGGGTGTCTCGGCGACGTGTGTCGCCAACACGGAACTGGTCGATTCGCTAAATTACAATTGCACGTTCTTCTCATTCATTCAGCTTTGTGCCTACGTTCATTAGGATACACGTTCATTGAGTTTTATCGGACACACGTTCTGCCGATACGTCGATAGCTCGTCACATGACGAGGCGTGACGTCACGAAAGCTCGCGCTTACTAGGGGAGCAACGGTGGCGAGCAGTAGATGGATTTATGGGGATGGCTACATTGTTCCAACCTGCGCGGAGGACCCTGGTAAGCTCTTCTCGCGCGCGCCGTGAGGACCCTCTCGCGACATATCCTGTCGAGGCGTAAGAAAGATTTCTTCAATACAAAGGAAATTGTTCGATGCGAGGCAATGCATGACCGATCACTCGAGGATGGGGCGCGAATGTCAGTTGTCCGTCAAAAGATCGTCAATGACGTCATTCCGAGACGAGCCTACCAGGATTACAGCCTCGAGCTAGATTTACGAGCATCGCGCAATCAACAAGTGGTTGTTGTCGGTTCTATGTAGTAAAGCACCCGTCTATACACATTTACCGGAAAATACTTGATGGATTATTACTTTCTGTCGGATTATTTCACGCGCTAGCATGTTTACTTTCACACTACTCATTAAAACAATCTTTACATTTTCAGTTTTAATTGTTCTATTTTGTATTTAACATTGTATAACGGAATTACAATTTTAAAATATAAAGATGTTGCACATATTCTTTTACTATCATAATACTTTCAATCGTCACTGATTCATTTTATATATTTAAATTTTTGTAAAAATTGTGAACGTAATAAGTTTGTGTCTAGAAAATTGCAAAATTGTTTAAATTACATTTTTTGGACAGAACTGCACACACACACACACATAAGTGTGTATAAAATAGAAAATCTGATTTGCCTGCAAGTTTATATTCTCGTTTCTAGAAACGAAAGAATAAAGTAGCAGAAAATTTCTCGGATTCTATATATCATAGCGTTGCAGTCCTGCTACGGACCTGTTGCCACGTCGGAGATCGTAAATTCAAGCGCAGGATGTTGTCCTGGTGAAAATCGTGCCTGTGACGTCTTTATGACATGAGGCTGACATTTAATCGATACGACGCAAGCGCGTTTGTTGATCTTTTCTTTTCAATGTTTGTCTAAGGTCTGATTTTCGATCGGTGCAACATTGCAATATATAAGTTGCGGAAACAATTTGTATCAATGTCGCCACGTCGCCAAAAAAAAAAAAAAAAGATATAACGTGTGATGACAATACAAGGTATCAACAATGTTGCGTCTAGTCTAAAACACAGCTTATGAGATAATATGTGTTAGCAATATAATTGATAATCTACGTAAGTAACTAATGTGTGAGGATTGTAATTTAAATACACATATAATATAGCTTTTAAAAGAGAATATTTACTTTAATGCTCACAATCAGTATATCGGGTATGTTATGAATTATACATAACGTAATGAGTTTTATAGAAACATCAGAGATGTACGTTTTATCGATAATGAGGCTTTCAATATATTACCAAACTTATGACTACATTAGATGATATTGTCAAGATGTCACGAACTGTCATGTCCTTTGCGTCATAGTTTGTGTAGTAACCATTACCATCCCTGACACATTCGATCGATCTCATTTGCATAATGTGCTCCCAAATTCTTAGGCGACACATTACCGCGGTTTTCGTCGTAATTCATCGTCGGCAGCGTAAAACTATCGAACCGCAACAATCGCGAACGATTACGGAATACAACAGAAACGAAATATCGATTTCACGTCAAATTTGTCCAAACATGACGACTGTGACGTGTCAACGGAACAGGATAGTATCATTCACGGGAATAATTCTGATCCGCCGATACATATTGTTGCGTTCGGAATTTTTTTCCCGCAGAATCCGCGACGAGGCAAGAAGACGCGCGGCGTCTGAAAAAGACCAGGCCAGCATCAGGCGTGGACGTTCGCAAACGGGCGAAAGAAACGGCCAAAGACGGCATCGAATCCGTGACGACGTTCGCGCGAAGGCGCGCTATTGATTTTCTGTCATCTTCTTGGGTTTACGACATCTCACCGCGTTTCGACACTACCAGGAACCTATCAGCATGTCACGCTTGTTTATCCCGGACACGTCGGCCCGCCAGTCTGTTGCGCGCACCGGCGCGTATTTGTTTGTCGAAGAGAACGCCAGGCGGATGCTGCCTGGATATCATGGAACAGCGGAAGCGTCACACAGCGCGAAAACTTGTCTCTCCATCCGGAAAGCTCTCGAAGTGTTCCCGCTTATACAAGAATCTCTCTGCATAGAAGAGATTACTTACTTCGAATAAATTAATTGAAAATGATGAGACAATAGAAGTCTCAGAGACGACTTATAGATTCGAGAGAAAATTTCGATATTTATAATGCGACAGTTTAGTCTTTTCTCTCTTTTCATAAATTACAAACTTGGATTTTTACAACGTTTAAACAAGAAAAGATGTCATGTCTGTTTATAAACATATCTGTATATAAACAATGAGAAAAAAATATTATTATGATATATTTATGAAGATATATGTGTGCGATGTGGAGTTCACAACTTTAATTTCATTAAACACACACCACGTTTCATTCTTAAATTGAACGTTTAGTAAAACGCATATTTTATTATTGAATCACTCTTTATCGGTATATTTATCGTAGGTATATTATCTAGTTTATATACATCTGACCGTAAGAAGACCCGAGGGATAATCCTTGAAACCCTAAAGAATGCGAAAGATATTCAAGTACAGAAGCGAAAACGGGGGAGTTTAATAGGGGAAGCAGAAATACATCGAGAGCAGAAGCGAGCGCTGTGAAAACACATAATACGATCCTGATACCAATCGAACTATTCACATAGCAACAAGTCTCGTTTCTAACTAAATTTCTTTTAATTATACTGGAAAAAGATTTGAGAAAGCTGTTTTTTACACAAAGTAAAAATTTATAATTTATATAAATTTTATATGCATTATATAAACTTTGAAGAAATAGCATATATTTTTTTATTATAATTGTAAATTATATCGGACTCTCTCTCGGGTGCGAATTAATTTTAACGGTCACTGTATTGTTAAGCGGTACAGTTGGCTGATCGAAATTGCAATAGGCCATTCCAGAATCCAGACTAACCACCTGTCGATGGCTCGTCAATCGAGAATTCAAGCATACGACCAGCCGTGTACTAGGCGAACAGATTTTGGGGTAAGCGTTTAGCGCGATCCCCACCAATTCAAAACCACGTGACGCGTCGTCCTTGCAGGATCAGGCTAGTAGTCTTTTAGGCAGTTGGCACGTGTCCTCCTGTCTGAAGAGCTTTTGTCCTAATATTACCAGGCTCGCGAGGAAATTAGTACAGGACTCTAAATCTTTAAATTTTCGATCTTTTTATTGCAGACATATGTGTTTGTTATCATATGAACGTCTAAAAAATACAACATTCATTTGTATCTCTACGCAAACTAATGCTAACAAAGGACTGAAATACTGCTATAAAATTCACGTATAATTCTTTTTAACTTTTGTCGATTTAATAACATTTTTATTCTAAATTTAGATTATATATCTCTGTACTTTTTTATTTTATGGTGTATAAAATAGAGAAAATATTCTTGAATTTAAAGAATAAAACAATATTGCACACACCAAATAAGAAAGAGTAAGAAATAAAATGTATAAAACTTCAACGTTATTTCTTAAAATATCATTGCAAGTTATTATGTTGTAAGTATTACACTAAAACTGTGACAAAACGTAGTTATACAAAGATTATATACAATAGTTTTTGAAAGGAAAGACCGTACATCCTCATTTAATAAATTAGATCTTGTAATTTGTATTAGCCATAGTGTATCAACGTAAACTTCCGTTATAATCTAAATCAATGTTAATTTTTCACAAATAAAAGACTCAACAGTAAATTAATAAAATTGTATATTATAACGGCGGTTACCGCGTTGGGGGAGGAGTTATGCCAACTGTTGCTTCGAGTTGCGTCGGAACGCCGCACGTCGATACAACTTGCGGCGGCGGTAGCGGCAGCGATGGCGGCGGCGTCGCGCGCCAATAGATTGGATACATCGATACACCAGTTGTATCGTTGACGTAAAAGGGGGAGGAGAAAGGGCGGAAACAGCGACAAAAAGCACGACAATGCGATGACGATGAGCGCTACCGAACGCACAGCTCTTGCAACGAACTGCGCTCCTAGGAATCCGAGACGTGTCGTGTCCTTTGAGTGTGCCGGGTCTCGCATCGACGGGTGAAAGGTCCGACTATCGCCTCCGCCGTCGCTAACGGGAAAGACGGCGATAGCGGCGGCGGCTACGACGATGACTGTGACGAGCGTCACGTCGCCGACCAAAGAGCGCAAAAAGAGTGCGCGCTCGCAAGACGCGGCCAACCTTTCCTGATTCTTCGCTCGACGCGACAAAAAATGCCATGCCCCCTTGGCTCGCCTCTTGGCATAATGGGGAGCCATGAGTAAGCGCTGGTTGCACATCTAGTCACGCGGTTATTATTTCGCGGGTGTATTTATATCTCCCCGGTAGCGGGGCAAAGAGGGAAACGAATGGATGGGATGGAGAAAGGGGGCGGAAAGTGGGAGGAGAAATGGGCGGGTTGACGTGCCGAGTATCGAACGAATGGGTGAAAAAAATTGCTCGATGGAAGGGGAAGCGACCGCGAGTTCGACATTCGATAATGCCGCGTCGAGTCCCGCGGAAACCAAAGGTCGCTGCTCGTCGCATCGCGCAAGCAGCCTCTATCTACCAAAACCTGCGCGTGGTTTTCGGCATCGTACGCGGAAAGAGGGGCGCGAATACAACTTCTGCGATCCTGATGCCACGGCGATCATCAACATTCTTTTCACTTATCAAACTCCGCTCTCCTTTTCTCTCGCAGACCTTTCTCTGTATAATATAGTTTATAAGCGCGATTCTTAAATAAAACGTAAAATGCGAAAGAGATATACTAATGAATTTTCCGATCTCTTTATCATATACATATACAGTATACAACATGTATATAACAAGTTTCTTATCTCTCTCAAAAAATTCTTTTATCATATTATTACTTGCTATTGCATACGTGTATACACTCTTTTATTCTTAGAAAGAATAAGATATAAAATAAAGCCAATTTTTTCACAGGAGTGAGTTATGAAGACGCTCTGAGGGATGGTGTACTTCTCTGCAAGCTCATGAATAAATTGCAACCTGGTTTAATCTCCAAAATTAATACGTCCGGTGGAGATTATAAAATGATGGACAACCTTAATCAGTGAGTATCATGATATCAAAACTTTGAAATATTATAATATACGTTCTAAATAAAATAATGGAAATGTGCTTGAAAAGTATATAAATTATAGTTACGATGTTGTAATATATAGCACAGATTAATATTATACGCGTACTATAACTTTATTATGAGAATATCTAATTTAACTCATTAAAACTGATAACGCGACAGTTTCGTGGCGAGATACTCCCCTCTCCTATGTTTATCTCGTCATCTTACCGTCGAAGCGACGCGCTTTCTGCGAGTTTATGATGTCCTAATCTGCCGTCCACTTTACGCAGTCGACGGTGTTTTGCGTCAATTTCTCGAGAGCAGTATCGACAACGCTGATCAACGACCGTCGCAGTCGAGAGATTGTGCTGATTGTTTCTCGACTCTTCCTCTCGACTCTCGAGAGTTGCGCGCGATATCTGCGAACGATTAATCGGCACACGAAATGACGTCGATGTTGCTCCTAGCGCATCGTGTCCGCCTGGTAATCGAGAAGTGCCAGAAGTAATCCGTTAACCGCTGACGCGTTCGGAAACCTTGCTCCGAGTATAGTAAACTCTCTCTCTCACATCGTTTTGCAGTCCGTCATTATTAACTCCGTGTGAGCGGAACGTAATCGTTTTCAAAACTTGAGATAAATTTACTCGGAGTTAAATCTACATGAACATCCCTGTAACCGAACCGAGGGATGAATTAGAAAAGTTACTCTGCAGTATAAATCCGTTTAAAAGGATATTTTCGTCTAAAAGATTAATTTTATTAATACGTGTCAAACACGTCAAAAACACAGTGACTTACAATAACTTGTCGCGAACAATGGCTGAAAGCCAGAACACAAAGATAGATTGCTATATTACAAGAAAATGTTATTGAACTCTAGCTATTATTTTAAAATCGTTGCTACAAAAATTTTAGTGTCTTTGTAACGTAAATAACAATTCGCGTATATTATAAATAATACGCAATACGTATATTATATGCGATATAATATATTATTATTGTATTTAATAATAATAATATTGCATACATGTATGTATAATACGTATTTATGTGTATGTATACATGTATGTACATACCGAAGCTGCAACCCGAAAATAGGATATTGGAGATGAACGCCTGTAGCACATTGCTACAATCCTGATGAAGTATTTGCATTCGAGGAGGTGCTTGTAGAATAGCGCAAAAGAAGCTCATTTTTTCGATAAATCAAAAATTATTTTTTTTCTTCATTCAAGACAAGTAAAATTAAATTTCTTTCTTTGAAGAACTGTTGGAGAATCGCGAGTCTAAAAGGGGAGCACGTCTATATAGTAGATTAAAATAAATGTGCATTTTTGTCTTGTGGGTCGGTTGGTGCATTTGTTGACCGTCTCTTCTTGAGAGAAACTCGTATCTGTTTCACGCGTCTCGGTACTCCGTTTTCTCAGCCTCGCATCGTCTCGCACCGCACACATCTCGGATATATGCACGTTGCGCATGTCGGCGCTTCTTCGGCTACGCGGCCACTCCGCGTTACTCCCTTTCTACGCGAGAAGCATAACATCGACGAAGGTAATATCGCCCGTCGCGGTCGCGACGCCACGTGTTGGCGTCTTCGTGAGAGAGCGTAAGATCACATACGACAAGGAGGAATATCCTACACGCGCATTCATCCAATCTCGTTTCATGCAGCTCTGGTAAACGAACCGCTTGTAAGCACTGACCTAAGTAATATTAATGCCTCACACGTCCTCCAGTCCGGTCAGACGGGTTTGACACGTATCGTTCACACTCGAGCACTTAAGTGATAATATATACACATATATATATATATATATATATATATATATATATACAGTTAATTGATTATCTTGTTTTGTGCGTGTGCGATAATGTCTCATCGATTTTATTTGTATTACAGTCTTTTTTTTATAAAACGGTAACATGATATTTAGATACTACATAAAAATTTCACTCGTTTTGCTCATTTACAAGATTTTTATCTGTAAATATAAAGACTGAATATTGCACTTATTCTTTTACAAAAAAGTGTTGTCGAGATTAGACCTCGACATTCTCATTTAAAGTATACAGATCTCTCCCTCGCTCTTTGAACTGCGAATTGTTTAGTACGTCAAATATTGTTGTTTGATATAAATCGCTAATGTTGTTCAGTGCTCATATGCGGAAGACGTGTTGAGCGTCAGGAACACATCAGATTGAGCAGGCATGGCATACAGTTTGCACATTCTATGTGACACAAACTTCGACACTTCTCATATTATAAACCTTTTTATCGGATTTTTATGAGTTGCTATATATATTCTATTTAAATAAAATAAAAACAAAGATAAAGAACATTCCAATCTCTTATGTTGAAACAAATATTTTGCGCTGATATGATCGTTTTATATTACGGATTGAAAAATTTCCGAATTAATTATTGAAGTATTAAAGCCATCGATGATAATTCTTGTTTCAATAACAGAAACATAAGATAATATTTGCTAAATACGCGACAAATGTGTTTTTTAAATGCGTTCTTCGTAAAGCTCTAAAGAAACTGCTACTTGCGCATTGTGAACAAGTAATGCAGTCTTCGCACCGGGGATGATTCTGCTACCCTGTTAAGCTTGCACACTCAACACGTCATTTCTGCGACATGAAGAACAAAGGCACAGCCTCCCGTGCTCTCAGACATTATGTTACGCGACCTGTTAATTACCCGTGCCGCGATAATTAGCGGCCAAACAATAGAAACGCGTCACTAGCTCAAAGCGACGCCCAGGCGAACAGCCGTATAAAGGAGTTGGACGTAGCATGCTTCTCTTTTGTTTCTCCCTCGTACCTTTGTCTTCCTTCCGATTTGCCGCCATTCTTATTTCTTGATGGTGCGTTTCACGAGTTATTATTCTTCAAAAAAATTCCCGTGTGTTTTTTTCGAGTTTCTTTTTATATTTTGTTTACTTTGAATTAAACTTGAAAAGTACTTTATTATGTTACAAATATGCCACGCCAGATTATTGCCTTGTGCATTTATTTATTTGTCTCGGTTTTAGATTTCAGAAAGCCTGCGTTAAATACGGAGTACCTGATGTCGATCTTTTTCAAGCTGTCGATCTGATGGAGCGTAAAAATATCGCTCAAGTAACGAATACCATCTTCGCCATCGGACGGACGGTATTTAACTTCTTAATTATACGATCGTCAGTTTATTACTTTTTAAGACGCACACAGTCATTGATAATTTAACATCTCCATCAACATTTGTACAATTTAAATAACATGCCATTTGCAATGCCTTTATATTTTGAAATAAATAAAAGTAATTAAAAGATGAAAATATAGGGATTATATGATACTATATAGATTTTTTGCGTTAATTAACATTTACACAGACATATAGACACCCGGAGTGGCGCGGTCCTTGGTTGGGTCCGAAACCAGCGGAGGAGAACAAGAGATCGTTCACAGAAGAACAACTAAGGGCTGGCGAGGCAGTTATTGGTTTGCAAGCTGGTACTAATAAGGGCGCTACTCAAGCCGGACAAAACTTTGGAGCTACGAGAAAAATACTTCTTGGAAAATAATTCCAGAACTTACATTTTTTATGTTTAAAATATTGTTTATAACGTAATCGTTTTTTGTAAATATAAATATATTATAATGGATATCTATTATATAACATTTACAACAATTTACGCTACATTTGTAAAAGAATAATGTTTTGCAATTTGTTTCACGATTTAACCATGAATATTACACTGAAAAATATTATGCATTGTTTTGTGTGTGTGTATGTCTAGTAAAATCTATAATTATAATGTGATTTAAAAAACAAAACATGTAATAAAAATATTCATTAGTGTATATATATATATATTTATTTTTCTAATTTTGATTCACAAAATAGCACAAAATTTTCACTTGTTAAAACCTATCTTGTAACTAACTTTGTTATCTTTTTAAGTTTTAAATTTAAATTAGATATTCTATATAAATTATTTGTTGACGCACAATAGAGAAAATTTATAGAAAAAATCTTATCTCGCTTTTGCTAGTTTCCTGGCAACTTTCGTGGGCTTTTGAGAACCGTTTTCCACAACCGCGAGTTGAATGTCGGTGCGCAACAACGAGACAAGACTTCTAGGTATGTAGGTACATACACGTTTCTCTGTACGCGTACTACATGCCGCAACGCTAAAGATAGTTGGTTGTGTGCACGTAAGTATTCGAACGCGTGTATGTACAACGCAAGCCGGAGAAGCGCGTATGCGACGACACGATCATCGTACGTGACGAGAACGACGAGTGGACGTGACGTGTATGTACACGCGTTACATGCATTCCGTGATCGGTTTCTACACCGCAAGGCTCCCTGAGGATCAGGCGAGCATACATAAGACAGAACGCGTTTTCCCTCACCACGTTTCAAATCACTCCATTTTTCTTTGTGTTACACACATCTCACCGTTGTCGCGTCGGCGTATGAGTGACAAGCTTTTCATCACACATTCTTACATTCAAAGTGGTATAAAGAGAGATACTATACACACACATTTATATACGTTTATGTGTGTGATATATTGTTTATTCCTATTGTCTCGACTCTCAACATAGTTTATTTTATAGAAAGTTTAGCATAAAAATTTGGAACTAAGAACAGAACATATCGTTCTTAATTGGTCGAATATTTTAAATACAATTTTTTTACACTTATATTTCATTATATACCAGTGTTGTACTGAAAAAAAAAAAAATACTTAAGCGCGTGAGGATGCGACGCGCGACGGTGGTCAACGAGATAGCGCGTGCGATACAAGTAGCCGTGCGGTACTGAGTGTTACTTTTCTCGGAAACTGGAGTAGGATAGCAGCAAAACGAGAAGCCACAACACAACACACACAACGTGTGTCGTTTGCACGTGTGTCATATTCCTGATGAGATGTCAATCAAGAAGTCAAGCTTGCAGCGCACACTTGATGCTTTCTTCGTGCTAGATCGCATCGACGATTTGACAATTCTATTTTTTTCAACCGATCAATTCTGATGATCGCGTGCTATCTAGATTTTATATTTCTTATCCCCCCGATAACTTATCGATAACGAGTCATAATCGAGAACAAAGTTCCAGGTTTTAAAATATTTCTTTCATTGATTTTGTTTGTAATAAAAAAATGATTATAGAAGCGTCACAAACATGTGACGTGTATTTGTAACATAAAGACCGGCAAAATGAGAGAAGATACATAAACCGAGAAGAGAATGAACGCGTGATTATAGGAGTTTATAAGCAGACGTCCGTGACAAACATTTTATACAACTAGCACATCACAGAAACGAACACTATTATTTTTATTTTAACATATTCCGTTTTCCCCCAAAGTCGCGCGGCCGAGGTCAGTGACCCCGCCGCGGTCACGCGACCGAGGTCAGTGACCCCGCCGCGGTCACGCGACTGAAATCAGTGACTTTACTGTAGTATATATGTAATACATATAATGCAATATAAAATATAATAGTATAAATATAAATAATAAATAATAAATTATATGTATAACATATATTATTTAATGTTAGATATAATATAAATTACAGTCACGTTACTTTAGTCACGTATTGTTTTTCTACTCTTTCCTGTCAAGTGACTTTACTCTTTAGTCACGTTTTTAATTTTCTTCACATATACGAACTGTCAAAATCGCTTTTCTGTTAATATTTACTGTCTCGATTTTACTGATTTGATTTGATCTCGACTCGACTCGATCAACCAACCAAGAGGCAACAATAGATGCGATGTATTCGATATGAAAACGCGCACTTTATGGTACACATGGATTTTTTTATATAGGATACCTTGATGTACAGCATACAGTGCAGCCCTGAAAGTCGGAAATGCTAACTAAGCGCACATGTAGGGAAAAGTTACAATCTGCTAACAGAGTGCTGGTCCAGACATTCAAGCCTCAGCTTACTTCTTGCTTTCTTATATATTCCTCTTGAAAGGGGAGCGCTGCGGAGTGGCCGCTCCGCGCACTGCGCCCCACTATTCTTCCACGCACTCGCAAACCGCGTGTACGTACGAATATGAAGCACGTTACATCTCGACTTGACGTTTGTAGTCACAACTGAGATTGCAAGATATTAAGTCAATAAAACATCTTTTCGCGTCAGTATTATTGTCAAAATCACGTCATAAATAATGTAAAAACAATGACAGAATGTGATGATTCTAAGTCACACATCGATGACGTCGTATTTATGAAAATTACGATATGATGACGAGAAAATACATAAAATTTCTCGAATATGTAATATAAAATTATTATTTTTTGTCGACCCATTATGCGATGGCGCTATTGTTATTATAATAACGTTGTAAGTAAAATCGTAACTTTAAATCTAAAATTTGTTGAACAACACTTTGAAAAATGTAATCATTTGGTTTTCAACAAAAGATAAAGAGTCAATAGCAGTTAGCTTTCAGTTTAAGGTACTGAATATTATTAAAATTATTGTACAAGATATAAATAGAAGAAACTATATTATTAGTTTACCATCTAATATCTCTTCTACTTTGTTAAAATAAACAAGAAATGAAAGAAATGTAATAATGTAAAAAAACCGCTAAAATTTGACTGTTTAAGACAGATTCATTAAAATAAATCAAATGCGCGCCGCATATGAGTAGAGGAATCCCAGTTAGAATGGTTATTTAGACGCATCTAAGAAACACGACTCTTTCATGTTCCTGACAACCTATTCGCATGGAGTTCATTGGTACGTTTCCGCGGTTGTAAGATGCTCCGTGCTGTAGCACTCGATTCGCTCGAACAAGAATGACTGAGAATGACCCACGAACTCGTTGTCCTTCTTTTCCTATACAGCCAGGCTTACTATCTAGGTGTTCATGATTTCCCAGTATATGGTCGATCAAAGGAGAATCTCGTGCTTACGCTTAACTCGATAGAACATATGTCGACATAGACTGGTCACACAAACGCAACTAATATGTATACGTATATATAAAAAGGAAATAGAATAGAGAAAACTAAACAAAAAAGATACTTATTTGATCAAATTTCACATAGTTCTTTTTTGTTTTTCTATGTTACATAATTTTTTTCGTCTATATATGTGTATCCAAATTTTTCTTATTAACAACTATAATAATTTACAAACAGCGAAGATGAATTTCTCATAGAACAAAATACGAGATGTTAACTTTGTTCGGCACCGCGCTTTCAAAAATCGTTTACTGATCTAATTAGTTGCATATATGTGTTTGTGATGATAATAAGAGTTGTAATTAGGTTTGTCTACAGTACTTACGAGCATTATAGTATTAATATAAAATTAAAGTATCGTGTTTAAATCTCGCGGGTTACTTGTTAAGCTCTTTTCTGATTGGTATTTTGCCGCCATTACACTTGTACCAGTTACCACCACAGACACGACCTTCTATATTTATAGAACGGCTCCGATACTTTTGTATGACCTCGACTCCGGATTTGTGTGTTCTAGAAGGAATGAATGGTGGTTTCTATGATGCGTCTGTGACGACGGAGAGATACTTTTTTGCGTATGTTTACTACGTCGCACCGATTTAGTTAGCTCCGATATTCTCTGTGCTAATTATCAATCAAACGTTTTGTGGAGTGTAAATAAATTTATCTGACATACGTTTGTATACGATTGCCGTGCACAAGTGCCATAAAATAATATTGCTTTCTGTGTATTTCACTGCATCTTTTGCAGTTTGAGTTTGTGCGGTTTTGTGAAGAATGTACAATGATATCTTCGAGGAGTGACATTGATTCGAAGTTTAAACTCCGGCCGAAAAGACTGAGTAGAAAAATGACATATATTCGCTTTTATAACTGAGCAAGTGAATTTACTGCAACTATATATATATACATTCTGGTATGTCAATTGGAACACACGTTTGACAGTTTGTTTATAAATAGGTACACATCAAATACGACCTTGTTCAATTCCTGAAACTATAAAATAAGCATTTGAAAGAATATATCCAAAGCTTTGAACAATATGCCTTCTGTCTGTGGCGATATAGTCGACATGGCTGGTAATTACACAAAACTTTTATTTAATATCAATTTATATATGTAATAAATTTGCGGTATAATAAATATTTTCTTAACATATAAAAAAAACAATTATATATAGTTGCCTCTCAATCAGGCATCATGGAAGGTATTTCGAGTACTGACAGTGTTGGAACTCAGAGTGATATATCAGGACACACAACTGTACCAGGAAGACCCAGAATGGATGTTGCTTGTGTTTTGGATTTGCAACAATCTGAACATCTAGCTCAGCGAAAGAAAGCGTTAGATGAAGTTAGACAAGCCTGTAATTTGGTCAATGCTAATATACATCATATTCAGGTAGGTTTTACATACATATAGTCACGTATAGTATAGTATTATAGTCACACATGGTATAGTAGTATAGTAGTATAGTATTTATAGTATACATAATAGCAGTATAGTATATATATTATAGTATATATAGTACATATAGTAGAATATAGTTTTTACATATATATAGAACTGGTTGTTCCACCTTCAGATAAAGTATTGGGTAATCTATCTAATAGTTGAAACTCTCTGATTTGCGTTGTTCCACATGTCGGTAAAATTTATCTGGTAAATGACCAGAAACCAAAAGAGAGAAAGATAAATTACTCTCTACCGTGTCTAAGTCGTATCCAACAGATAAATATGTAGAAATAGAAAACAATAGAGATGCGCTAGTTAAATTCCTATCCTATAGATACTAACCTGTCGAGTAAGCTGAGATTTATCAGAAGGTTCAGTTTCTTCTATCTTCCGATAACAACCGACCTATAGTTTTAAATACTTATATAATACTTTTCACTATATTTTAATAATATAGTGAAATGAAAAATTATTCAAAAATTAGAAGACCAATACTTGTCTTATTATATTTTTTTTTTCAATTTTTCATATGTTTGCTTTTAGTTCGAAAAACTTGATTTTGGTGAAACTAATGTGCTGGACACATTTTATAATGCTGATGTAGCAGTCGTGGATTTAAGTATTCAGTTGCAACAATCTGCACTATTTTATCATTTAGGTGTTAGAGAAAGTTTTGGAATGAAGGAAAATATTCTGCTGTATAATGATGTAGATACAGAGGCTACAATTAGACTTAGGGTAAGTTAATTATGATATCGTGCCTCTTGATAGTATCGCAAAAAATAATAGATTATAGTAATAATCAGTGAATTATAAGAGATTTTAGTGTTTGTGCGTAATAATATCAGAAAATATAACAATTAGTGTTTAATTATTTATTATTTTTATTTTTATACTATTATTTATACAAAACTTTTTATATACAATTATGCAAAATATGTGTATACAAAGTTAATTTATGTAAAGTATTTTTACAGTTATCTTGTGGCAGCTACACATTTGTTTCATATCGTGTTGTGGAATCATGTGGTTCCTGTGTCGCCACTAATCCAGCAACTAGCAGAATCACAGGAGAAGAAGCAATAGATCCTAAACAACATCTTACTTTAAAGCTGAAAAAATTGTTTCAGGATGTAGAAGTGCAATCTAAGTAAGCAAATATAATAATTTCTGCAATATAAATAGAAATTTTTTTATTAAATTAATTTATTTAAACATGAAAGAGTGAAAGGAGAGAAAGACAGTATTTAATATGGTAATGTATTAATAAAATACACTTTTTATAATTTTAGAGCGCATATGAAAGAAAAATTTTTGGCAGACCTGCGCAAGGCGCGTGAGACATATTCTGGAGAGGAACTCTCCAAAGCTTTAAACAATATGCGCAAACGATTAGATGATCCAAATGTTTTATCGGGAGAAGTAGTTCTAAACGTTCTTATCTCGTTTCGAGAAATACAGGTATAAAACAATGATATGATAAAAAGATATTGCTAAAAAAATATTATTAGACACATTGAGCATTGTTAGAGACATTAAAAAATTTTTTAGGATTATGACGCGATGGTTCAATTAGTTGATGATTTGCGAACGATACCAACTCACAAAAATTATATAAACACTCCGGCCATAAGATATTTATATGCGTTTGCCTTAAATCGACGAAACAAAGAAGGCGATCGAGAAAGAGCGTTAAAAGTTATTGAGAAAGCTTTGGAGAAAAAAGAAAATCACGTTCCGGATATGTTGTGTTTATGTGGGAGAATATATAAAGACAAATTTGTAGAGAGCAGACATACAGATCAGGAAAGTTTAAAGAACGCGATTCACTGGTATAGAAAGGGATTTGAGGTACCATTATTCGTCTATAATTCTGGATGTCTTTGCTCAAGATGTTTGTTAATACATGTATTAACGTAACGTTATTATGTTGTGTATATAGGTCCAACCTAACGAATACGCCGGTATAAATCTTGCTACTTTATTGGTCATAGCCGGAAATGAGTTTTCGAAAAGCGAAGAGTTACAACACATAGGAATGGTTTTAAATAATTTAATCGGTAAAAAAGGCAGTTTACCGAGTCTGAAGGATTATTGGGATGTGGCGACATTTTTTGAAATTAGTGTATTGGCGGAAGATTATTCGAAAGCTATACAAGCAGCTGAATGTATGTTTAAATTGAAGCCACCAAACTGGTACGTATAAGTGAGAAATAAAACTTCGGCAAAGAAAAGAGAAAAAATAATCAAATATATTTACAAAGTATTTTCAATTAATTTTTAAGGTACCTGAAATCAACAATAGGCAACATATCACTGATAGATCGATTTCGCAAAAAAAATGAGGAGGCTGACGTTACGCCGGAGGAACAAATATTTAGTTTCTGGATGGACTACTTTGTCGAAGCTACAAAGCCGGAGGTTGGCGATAGTATACGGTTTCCAGTAAGTTGATAAATGGAATCGTTCTACTGAGGAACCAGTTTTCAATTCGGGAGACTATGGCTTATAGTTATGCGCGTTACCAATCCAGCTTACTTCTGTACATTTTGTGTCAAAGTAAGAATAATATAAAACTGCTCTTAGTGCCAGGTTTATGGATTCACTCTTTGAGAATTAACTTCCCACTTTAATCATCTATGTTTTATTAATAAAAAAAACGCTCGTAACGTTATAGAATGTTCTTATTTGTTAGATTTTAGTGTTAGAACCAACAAAGATCCTGATGCCGAGTTACGTAAACGTGAATCTCGGTGCTGAGGAAAAATCTATACAGATATGGAATTTGTGTCTGGATAATATGAGAAATAACTGCAGGCAAGTCCACGATTGGTTGTTTACCGCGAGCATGATACGCAGCGTTAGTCTGTACAAGAGGGACGAAAGATGCCTGTTTCTATATGTTCACCAAAACTCGGACGATTTTCAAATGTACTTGCCATCGGTACAGTGTAGACAAAGATTTTACGACTTAATCTTGGAAATGACCAGAGATCAAGAAGGCATGGTTACAGATTTGGACGCTTATATGACTGATGATCGCATGAAGGTTTTCATCAACAATATTGCTTTTATGTGATATTATGTTTTGTGTTAGTTTTTTTGTTAAAAATCTTTAAATATTTGTATTTTTACAGTTCGAGTACGAGCTGGATGATCAAAATAAGCGTATAATTCTCGGTAAAGGCACATACGGAGTGGTATATGCGGCACGCGATTTGAACACTCAAGTTAGAATTGCGGTCAAAGAAATTCGTGAGCGTAACTTGGGTGACGTACAACCCTTACATGAAGAGATTAAGTTGCATAGTCAGTTGAGACACAGAAACATTGTTCAGTATTTGGGATCAGTTAGCGAGGATGGATATTTCAAAATTTTTATGGAGCAGGTTCCCGGAGGTGAGCGACTACTCGAACAAAACATTATAAACGATATTGCGCACATGTAAATATTTATTATTTATATAATTTCAGGAAGTTTATCGGCTCTGTTAAGATCGAAATGGGGTCCTTTGAAAGAAAATGAATCGACTATCTCATATTACACTAAACAGATGTTAGAAGGCCTTAAATATCTCCATGACCAAAAAATAGTCCATAGAGATATAAAAGGTATAATAAAGTCACAGAAAAAATAAACTTTTTTTTATACTTATATTTTTTTATACTTTTTTTATATCTATATGTTTCATATATTTTTTCCTGCATTGTCATGCAAATATATTTACTATTGTTTAATTTAAAGGTGACAATGTGTTGGTGAACACTTATAGTGGAGTCGTAAAAATATCTGATTTCGGTATGTCAAAACGTTTAGCTGGTTTATGTCCGAGTACGGAAACATTTACTGGAACGTTACAGTACATGGCACCAGAGGTTATTGACAAGGGTCAACGTGGTTATGGCGCTCCCGTAAGTTTACGTTTGACTAAATGTTTTCGAGAATTCACAAGATAAAGACGTACTCTCTTTCGCGTGTATCACAATAACGCTTGAACTTTGCTTCTAGGCGGACATTTGGTCTCTGGGTTGTACAATAGTTGAGATGGCGACGGGAAAACCGCCATTTATTGAACTAGGATCTCCACAAGCGGCAGTTTTTAAAGTATAAATTCAGTATATCATATATTTTATACGTTAAATGTGATTTAATCTAAAACGCATGTATGTAAATTTTATATATATGTATAGGTGGGATATTACAAAATACATCCTGAAATACCGTCAGAGTTGTCTGAGAGAGCAAAGAGTTTTATATTGCGATGTTTTGAACCAAATCCTGACGTAAGGGCAACCGCCGCCGAGTTGTTGGAAGATCCATTTCTCAATGAGTACATAAGCTTAAAATAATAGCATTAGAAATTTTGTAAATTATAAAAACAATACTTTACAACCATTCATATCTTTAATAGGAAAAAGAAAAGCAGCAGATTAGTCGCGCCTCCAGATTTCAGCAGAAGCATATCAGTTCCCGCGGATAGAATAGAACGTTTGGGTAAATGTGATAAGACAAACAATAATCATATCGTCACCGCTACGCCTATTCAAACATCTCAATCTGACGATAGGTAATATACGATTGTTGCTTTTGTTACAATGTGTTGTGTTTGTGAATATTCTTCTTGTGAAAGCAATTAGTGATGTTTTCACCTTTGTTTTGCCTATTTTGTATTCTCATTTGATTTATTTCATTTCAATCAATCAGTTTTGAGATTCAATTTCACTTTTTTGTATGTCACACACATCGTGTAATCGTTAAATCAACATCGAGACAATGACTGAGAAATGTTATTTGTAGAATTTGATTGCGTTTACACAATATTAGAAAGACCTAACAAATCTAGATTTTTATTGTAATATCATGACTTGTAGATTAAATTACGTGTGCTTGCTCGGGTTAAATATCAAATAGCGATTTTAATTTTATAGTAGAAATTTTCGGACTACAGAGTTTTAATTAATATGCGAAAATACAAAGAATATAATATTCTTTTATGTGAACGCACATTATAATTATAAAATGTTAAATTTAGTGGAGGTTTAACGAAGTCAAGTCCGTTGAAGGGACGCAGTCCGGCTCACCTATCTCCCATCAGCATGCCTACTGCAACCCTCTCTTTTAACAGGTACGGTTCTAACTTCGTAAATAGTTTATACATACAAGGGAAGTATAACTAAAGTTGTGTTTCTTGGTGGTATAGAGACATAAAATATTAAAAAAAAAAAAAAACAAAGTTCATGCGTGAATAATCTCATTTATCATCAATATTAAATGTGTAGACGCTTGTTTTTCAAATTGCTATTTTTTTCTATATAAAAATATCTGCTGTCACTCGCACTTTATGTTTAAATGTTTAAACAACAATATGTAGCTTTTTATGTATCCTATTTCCAGCATTTCTTTGTTTTGTTTCAACAATAGTGTTTATCGTTAATCGAACAACTTCGTTGGATTTACTAATAATAAAATCGTGCATATATAAACATAGTAAAATATAATATACATTTGCGTATCATTATATACATATTACACATATATACAGAAATAAAATACACCAACATAATTGCTTTATTACAGTTAAATTATAATTACTATAACAAATATATATTTATATTTTTTTTTAATATAACACAAACATAATATAATAAAACATAATTTTTACGTTAAAAAGTAGACCCTTAACACACACCTCACTGTAATTATAGCTTTTTATAATCACATATCTTTAAATAACAAATGTATATTTAAAAAATGGGCGGACTATTTCAACTGAATTGTCTCGATGTGTACATAAATATATATAATTTGTTTTTTATGTATTATTTGTAGCCATTTATGTTGTGCAAGTGTAATAATTAAAAATTGGAGTAATTAGAAAAAAGAAATTATTTTTTGCATTCAACATGCAAAGTGGAAACATGTTGAACACACAATATTCTAATATCATATGGTATTATTTAAATTACACTTTGCTTTGATAATGTCTCAAGAGTGCAACATTTGGTAATATATTACATATAATATTAATTTCCTCTTCTTTTCGCACACAATTGTAGTGCAATAGCAAATACTCCATCAATAGAAACTAGTGAAAGTGACACAGCTGGTGCTTCCATAACTAGAAGAAGTTCATCTGGAGGATTGCTGTCGCCGGAAGTTGAATTAGGAGGTAAATATAATAATATAAAGATATGTGTACAATTGTTTTGAAAAAAATAAATGTACACCGGTGACCGCACACTGAGAAGATGGACGAAATAAGAATCGTCCAGTAGTATTGTTGTTTATTAATATTTATCGGAAATTGGACTGGCAGGACAACCAGGACAGAAATCTGGAGAGGAGCAAGAAGGTTTTTATTTGTTAAAAAAAGACAGCCAAAGACGCATGACGTTAACAAGGGTTCTCAACCAAGATGAGGCAAAAATTTGTGAAGTCTGGATGAGAGGTATACATCAAGCAGAAGGACACACGGTGTTACAAATGGTATTTACTTTGTAATAATATATTTTATTGCCATGGTGTGTTTTATATTTTACCAGCATATAATTTATTTGATTATTATATTTTTAGAGTCATCTAGTGTTGCTCATGCGCGGCCTGAGGGATTACATTGCGGAGCAAAATCAGGAAGTAATAGTAACCGCAATTCGAACATTGAAAGAAGAATTGGATTTCGATTCGACTGCCATTAATCACTTACACTTGGCGATTTATTTGTTTCAAACGGCAGTAAATGAAGTTCTTAGAATGCACAGTATAAAGCCACATTGGATGTTTGCTTTAGATAATTTAGTGAGAAACGCTGTTCAAGCTGCTATCACAGTGTTATCTCCCGGTAAGTATTTTAATATGAGCTTGAAGTCGTATATTTAAAAGATAGCAGTGAGAACATCTCAACTTTTAGCTGTCAAAAAAAAAATTCTCTGTTTGAGTAATCGAATTCTCTCTCACGCTTGCACGGTATTTGGTACATGAACCAGATGTGTAACGTGCGCATGCATCTCAAGTATAATACATGTGGAGATTGAGTATATTATCGTGTCAACTCTAAAAATATCTCCCGGGAAAGTCATCACCAATAATAAAGAATCTCTCTTATGAACTCGCGTTTAGTAAGAGGGTTACCGCACTCCACTTCACACATCTGGTTTAATAGGATATTTTATAACATCAGTATAAATATATCAGTATTAAATATTGTGAGCAAGACGTATAAAACTTGCAAATTATATGCCACCACTTGCGCGGTGTTTTATTTTATAAAAAAAAAAAAAAAATAAAAAACAAATTCTGCGATTAGAACTGGGAGCTAATTTGCTTGGACAAGAGCGAATGCAACCTGGTGGGCAAGGTCCTGAGGAAGGATCAACGTCTGGAGTGTCAACAGTAAATTCCGTAAAGTCTCAAAAAACTGCCGATTCCATTGATAATAATAAATATTGGAAAGAATACAGAGATCAAATGGGAGCGTTAAAAATGGAAAATATGAAATTACTTCAAGAATTGGTAGAAAGTCAAAAGTCGTATCAAACGTTGTTGCAGCAAGCTCTTGAAGAACAAAGAGCTCAAGTTGATATCTTGACGCATCTGTGTGAAAACATCAATAGAAGAGCAGCGAGGCAGGAATCAGGGTATGGAAAATCACTTTATTTATCAATAGATAGAATTAATTTAAAAATTTGTTATAAACACAAAAGTGCATTGTAAACGTGAGCGCATTTTTTGCAGTTACAATTCTTGCATTACGGGAAATATGTCTCAACAATCAGTGTCCTTAATGAACACCGATCATGTTGTTTCGCAATCAGATACAGATCTTGTTAATTGGTTACAAAATCTTCAAATAGATGAAACTTCAATCGATAGAGTAAGTTTTATAAAAAATAAAAAAAAACAGTATATAAAAGTTACATATTATTTTATATATCATAATATTGATAAAAATTTATCTTTTTTTACTTTCTTTCTTATATAGTTTCTGTATGAGGAATATACGCTGGAAGATGTTTTGCATTACGTTACGCGAGACGATCTCCGCAGATTAAATTTAAGGTAAAAAGAGATAAAATGTCTTCTGATATTTACTAACATAGAGAGCACGAAAATGAGATAAGTTTTATACACAATTTTAGGGGAGGAGTCGAACTCAGGATATGGCATGCTATACTGAAACATCGAGAAAATGGAAATTGAATTGTAAAGATAAATGCAATTGCCATCATTGTTACAAGTGTCACTAATGGTTGAAGTTCAAAATAGAACAACATATCCGATTCAATTAGATTGTCATAAGAGAAATAATGAATTTAAAAATCGGCTCTATATACTATAATATTATATTAGATATAAAAATCAAACTAATATCAAGAGTTTCTTCCGTGACACGATATTATTAGTTTACATTTTTGTAGTTCCTACATGTAGATGTTAAATATCACTATCTTTGCAGAAGAATCTCGTACAAGTTCACATGATAATTACAGTAACAAACCGTTGTATGCCTTAATAGTTTTATCGCAGATTTTAATTGTTTTTTTGTCAAAATTTCTCAAGATATCAGAACTCAGACATCAATACTTGTACGTGAAAATCAGTATTTGCACGTGAAATGTATAGCGTGTCTCCCCAAATTGATTGTACAATCGACAAAGAAGTAAGTTCTTTAAGAAGAAATAAGTTAAAAATGTACATTATGTAGTAAATGTACATTATTCAGTTCACAGACACTGTGTCTCACACGTTATATTTCCTTGTCATAGGAAATTAGTAAATTTTGATTTTAAATCTTCTTTATTTTTAACATCTAAATCTGAAAAAATAAAAGTAAAAAAATACACATATAGAAATGCGAATCATTATAATATACAAATGTAAAATATTTGATATTACATACATATTTAGTAATGATATCTTCCACGTATAACACACACACACACATACAAACAGATTTAACGGATGCTCTCATGATTTTGATGATAAAACTGATGCAATTTATAAACCAGTTTTTATTAGAATAAATATAAAAGTATATATTTTCACTGCAGAAGCAAATTTACTGCCATTGAAAAATTCGGACTAAAAACGGCCTGTATTTTCACAAAAATATAATGTTGGCTTTACGTAAAGTTCGTATATAAGAAGAAAATATATTTAGCGCGTAGCGTTTCAACTAATTATCATTATAAACAAAATTAATTATAGTGCCTTATAAAGAAAACTCGTTCTAGTACAAGAAAATATTTATTATATAAAATATTTATTATATGAAATAAATATACAAATATAAAATGTTATCTTTGCACATTCGACAGTGCGAAGCATTTGCCCTGAAATGTTATGTCTTCGAAAAGCAAAAGTTTAATTGTGCAAAACACATAAAGTAAATATTCTCAGTAAATATTGATCAAATGTTTTTGTGTTAACATTTATCATGTATTGTAAATACGATATGCTTCTTATAGTGTGTGTATGTGTGTATGATATATATATATATATATATATATATATACATATATATATATATAAAAGAACTTGATTAAATGTCAACGGTTCTTCCAAGTTTATTATATATATACATATATAGAAGTTTTTATATAACGAAAAATTTGGATTTCTTTTTATGCAATAGTATAATGAAACAATTATACCTGTGCTTTTTCGCAATGCACAATATATTTTGTAATATAGTTTGAATTTTTTAATGTGCATAGTCGAGCTGAATTCACGCAAGTGTCTAATTTTAAGAAGCTCGAGAAATGTGTCTCTCGAGATCCCAGTGCCTGATTATTTTTCAAGAACATTATATTTTATAAAAACCGAATTTAGTTCGACTTATATGCACACGCTCTAATGTTACAGTACATACACAATCTAATGACTGATAAAAAAAATTATTTTCACACCATGCTAATAGATTAAAAATTATTACTGTTCGCTTTCGGTACTTGTTGTCAAGTATTCTGATCAAAATGATTTCGCATTCTCGATTATACGAACGTGTCGCAGACCGATTGAGAGACAGAGAACTTGAAAACAGGTATCAAAAATTATTGTTAATCATTACTGTTTTCACTCACTTAATAAAAGTAGGATTAATTATTATTGTTGCTCGCATGTGTGTGCGAAGTTTGTAATAAAGGAATGAACATACACATATGTTATTATCTATTATAGTCATTTTCCTTTATCTGTGTTTCTCTAAAATATAAATATGAAGTCCGTTGGAGAAAATGTTTGATAAAAAAAAAAGATTCTTGTACACAAATGCGATACGAGCGAGACGCGTCAATATTTTTACGATTCGTTTCTTTGGAATTTTGCGAATTCGTCATTCCTAATTGAAATTGGAGGGCAGCGGAGAATGAAAAGACGACGAGGGGAAAAGAGAGCAATGGGGGAGGATGAGTACGTGATCGGCTTTGAGTGTGATATTCTTTTTTTTTTCTGTAGGTGACTACTTCATAGAAACCGTGTCATTGATATGGATGAGGCATTCTCTCCGTCTCCTTGTGATGCTCCGTTTAAAAGATAAGTCAAATAGATTCGCAACAACTCGTTGGAGGGTTACTGCTTTTCACTCGGCTTGCTCGGAGATAAGGTTTCTTTGTTGTGTCGATCGATATCTCAGAAACGCGTCTCAAAAAGTCAGCGATAGTGCAACAGATAGTGTTTGTCGTTACTTTTTTGACGCTAAAAACTGAGAACGTAGTTTGCGGCAAAAAAGTTTTTGTTTCAATTGCGGTACTTGTCAATAATTGACACATCTAACTTTTCGTTTAATACAGATAATACTCACAATTGCGTTCGGGGGAGCGCGCTATCTGCGCGCTATTGCATCACACTCTATCTTCATCGCTCATTAGATGCGAAACAAAGATAGAATGACGCAATAGCGCCCGATAGCGCTCTTCTCGAACGCAGTTCGCGTGATATGTCGGGAGAGATCATTTATTCTTCGCGCGTCTTTTTTATACACATTGTACACACGTACTACGTAAACTACAGAAATCGGTAAACAATTGCTCAACAAATTGTCTCTTTTTGCGTTCCTAATAATAGTATATTCGCTCTAATCTGTGCTTTGAAAAAAAAACCGACAAATGAAATGTGTCACGTATAACATTACATATAACATTTACATGTCCCTTGGTTTTACTCGCCTCTTGGTCTATTCAACATGAGATAAAAAAAAAAAAAAAAAAGAATGCACTCAGAAGAACGCACGCATCTGCAGTGAATATTGCAAAAGTTGTTTCCAATCTGTTATTAGCATTCTCCGAGCATTACAGCAATGGTCAAAGCACCGGTTGTTAAATAGAAAGAGTTCGCAGCACGTACGCACACACAGATATCAAGGTTCATTCCTGCATGAAAACGTCATTGCCTCACCTTTGTTGCGTCGCATTTGCGTGCAGGCAATCTACGCACGGTCACGGCCACGTATGTATGAAATATTCAGTGTCGCTCGAACGTTAACCGGTGACCACTCTTTGGCTTGCCTCCTTTGTGCCGTTCATGAGGGCTGGTGCATCTACATGCAGATCGATCCTGCACATCTAGACACCGGCTTATCCGCTCTCGCATGGAGATAATACGCACACGCCCCCGTTCGTTTGGTATTCTAAAAAGTGGCTCGGGTCCTTTGCATCTCCTTGTCATGCAATATTCAAAAAATTGCTCTCTCTCTCTCTCTCTCTTTCTTCCGCGAGAGCGAACGACGAGAGTCTTGGATTCGCGCGCTCTCGCGAGAGAAAATTCGTCGATCGACAAATTTCAAGCACGAAAGTAAATGATGTACGTGATATAGTAATTATTTTAAGTTGTTACGCTCATAATTAGTTTTTTAGCGCGAAAAGTCCAGATGTAAAACTGCTGTGTTATAGTTTTGATTTATGTTATTTCTTAGTTTTATTTTATTGAAACGGTGCGTACAACTGTTTCTGTTTTTTATATAGTTATTTTTATACAGTTTTATATAGTTATTTTTATAGTTTTTTTAATAAAATATTTTCTTAATTGTTGATATAACTTTTTATGACTTGTGACACTGGTTGTCCTCGTTTTTGTGATACGATCGTAAAGAGTTATCAATGCAAATATAAAAATAAATGTAAATTACAGCCGCGTCTGAAAGAAATAATTTTGTTCGTTCCGCTCTCGCCCACAGGCTATCATCGACGGGATAATTAAGCGACGTTGCGAAAGGATCAGATAAAATACGGTTATTATGTAAATGTGTTATCGAAGTAATGTCGGAAAAGAATCGCTTTGACGATTGCTCGTATTAGTAGTTTCTTGTAAAAGTAGCATCGCTTCCTTTTGAAGAATAGAATTAACGAGTAAGTTTTTCACAGCGATCTTTACAAAAACGATTTCGCAAACGTTTCACAGCTCAATGAAACATCCTATTAATAGAATATGTATTAAACACAATAGTAAGACGGATAGAGTGTGATAAGAAAGACTTTTTTATTTTTCTTTTATTAAGCAGTTGTGATAAGGAAAGAAAGGAAGATCGACGCATGAGAGACGCGTGCTTTATCGGTGAATATTTTTCCACGTTATCTATAAGTTCCAGCCGCAGTAGCTGTTATTACAGCCGCTTCTTCTGACGTTCCCCCGTCATCATTAAGAATTCCATAACAGAAGACTTCGCTGAAAGGGGCATTACGATGTATTGGTGATTGGTTGTTCCGTTAAAGAAAATATATACGAAGCACAAAATTATCACGTAGTCTAGAAGAGATAAGACAGAAAATTGTGACTCTGATAAATGTGTACATTATTTTCATTATTTAGTTAGTTTAAATAAAAAGAGAATACTATATTTTTGTTTCTACCTACAAAGATCACGGCGCACGTTTAGAAAAACTACGGTATATGCACGGTATAAAAAATAATAAAGCTTCCAATTCTATAAATTCTTAAATTTTTTGTATCCGTATATTGTAAATCTTGAAAATTTGAGAGAGCGCTCGAAAAAGTTTTTCTTTTTTATTACAACAGAGAATAATCGAATGTCCTACTCATGATGCACTCGTCCTTGCGGATGGGTAGCGCAAAACGTACGTTTCACGGTTAAATGGTTCGATTGTGCTCTTTCGGAAAAGGGGCGTGCAATATATTCGCCTCGGTGAATTATTAAATCCTCCCCGCTGATTTATATATATTTTCTCACTTTCCGTCCTCCTATCCAGTCTTGTGGAGCGGAGATTTCCGTGGAAGATTTGATTGCGAGATCGTCTGATTTGATTACTCCCGCTTCGCTGAGCGCGATTCGAACGCCATTGCGGAATTACGTAGCTTTCACTTTTTCAAATTTAATATTTTATCTCGAGTCACATAGTATCACAACGTGTTTTGCTAATTAAAGTGAAGAAAAAATGCACAAACTAATAAATATATTATAAATAACAATGAAACTTGATTGTTTTTTTGAAACAAATAATTGAATGAACTTTGTTAAACACAATTTTATAGGTCTTTATCATTATATATAGCGGTTTAAATGTTCGTCTGATCAAAAGCAATTATAATGCGATCTTCCTGGAACACACACAAGCAAAAGAAAGGGTTGTTCCTCCACCAAAGCTGTAAATCTCAGTACTTCTCATTATTTTCTCTCTCTCTCTCTTTCTCTCTCTCTCTTTCTCTCTTTCCTTTCTATTTCTATCTTCGAATCTGCTATCCTTTCATCCCTCTTATTCTCCCATCCTCTCCGCGCGTCGTCTCTTTACCTTTTAATTAACTAACTGCGCCTGTGCAGTAACTAAAGCGGATCTCTTCAACTACGAAGATTTCCACCGAGCGTTCGAATAATCCATTTCACCGTAGAGAGGCTAAAT